CTACTGTTTTCATATCAAAGAGAGTTTTTAACTCTCAAATGCTAGCTCTCCATTCATCAAATTTATCAAGTTTTATTCTACAAATTTCCTACAATAGATAGAAAGATAAGAATGTGTGTTTAAAATGTGAGAGATAGGAAAAAGATGTAAAAGGAATGAAAATTCAATTAGGGTCATATACATATACATATAGATAAATAGATATATATATGGTGACATATGTTAATGAACCTATAATTTGTTAGAGATAATCATTGTTATTAGAGTTTTAATGAGTATTAGATGTATTTTGTTATTATTAGATATATATAGCCGTCCAAGATAGAGTTATATTAGAGATGAGAAAGTGTGAGTTTAATACGGGGGAGAGATAAGAAAAAGAGAGTATGAGACAGAGAGAGAGTTACATGAGAAATGAGAGTTTTAGAGTTGTAAAAAGAATGAAAATTTAATTAGGAAATGAGAGTTGTATTACTTATGCTCTGTTTAGTAGAAAGGATGAAAAATAAGAAAGATAAAAAATATGAGGGATACACTTTCTATCCTTCAATGATGAAAAATATGAATAATACACTTTCCTTCATTTATATTTGGTTGGATGAATGGAAAATAAAAATAATAATTTTTTTTTTTATGCTGACTAAGATTAGGGGTGACATTAAGTCGTGTCGTGTCAGATTCGTGTTGAGTCATTACGGGTTTGTGTCGAACATTAGTCAAACCTAACTCAACTCATTTAATTAATTGTGTCGTATCAAGTTGCGAGTTGATCTGTTTATTTTTGTGTCATGTTTGTGTTCGTATTCCTGTTGACCCACATAAACTTTGAATAAAAAATTTAACACTAATATTCTATTTTCACTTATTGAATCCATGTTAATATTTTTTCTACAAACTAAAAATTAACTTAAATAAATATAATAATAAGTAAAAATATCTTTTTTATATAATAATTATGTCAGTGTTTAATAAATAGTTACAAATAATTAACATTTTATGTCTATAATATTAGTTAAACATGTTAGTTTCGTGTTAACATACAAACAAGAAAATAGAGAAAGTGTTTATTTTTAAATAAACGGGTTGATGATGTCAATTTTAAGTTTGACTGATTGAACTGAATATGAGCCTTTTATATTTTTTATTTGCGTGTCAAGTCATTTTCAAATTTGTGTCGAGTTATAATCAAGTTCGTCTCATAAAATTTGCGTCGAATTCGAGTCGTGTCATCGTGTTGAGTCAAAAATTTTCACCTCTAGTTAAGATGGAAAAAATATATTTTTAATTTAAAATTTTATTTTAATTTTTTAATTTTTTAATTTTAAATTTATTTTAAAATTTATTTTAAAATTTTTTAATATATATATAAATACATATTTTATCATTATATTTTTATATAAAATTAATGTATACATAATATATGTATATATTAAAAGATATATAAACAAATAAGATACATCTCAACATAAATAATTAATTTTTCATCCACTTTCTTTCCATCCACAAATAATTAACTTTTCATCCACTTTTTTATTCTTCCTTATCAAACATGATGTTTTATTTATCCCTCTAACTTTTCATCATTCCATTTTTTTATCATACCAAACAGAGCATTAATATGAGATAGAGAGAGAGTTAGATAAGAGATAGGAGTCTTAGAAAAATTTCACATAAGGATCGTCAGATCAATAATCGTCAAACAATTTGAATCGCGAAACGCTTAAGACACACTGTTCTACCTACTTTATTATATAGATAGAACATAATAGAAAAACTACAAAATAGGAAAGTAGAATCATAAGAAAATGACATGATAGGAAAACAGAATAATATAAAAGTAACACTCTAACACTCCCCTTCAAGGTGGAGTATAGAGATAAAAATTGTCTAGCTTGGAGTAAAGACTCCTAAATGTGGATTGCACCAATGGTTGGAGAAAATCCCTAAGTTTATTGCAATATCTTGACGTAGACAATAGGGATAAAACCAAGCCCTAGGTGACTGCTTCAAACCATTCAGAGACTTGTTTAATTGACAGACACTGCCAGAACACTCGCCCTGAGCAACAAATCTAGGTGCTTGTTCCATGTGAAGTCTAACACATCCCTTAGTTTTCTAAGAAACAATAAATGACCACACCAAAGCAAGCAATAGAAAATGACGATCATGACAACATAGAGGAAAACAAACACTGCAACAACAGAGGATAAGCATAGCATTAGCACCACCAACAAGAATTCCGGTAGAAACGAACATAACCAACAACACCACAATGAACCACAAGAAACACTCAATTGAACTGCAACAATCGTAAACAAGATAAACCAATCAAATCAGCAAAAAAGGGTTGAATCGATGCTCAAAACCATAAAATCAATAATGAACTGAGATGAAAATTTTAAAATTGGCATTGAACGAGAACTAAACCAGGATGAAAACCACTAATCTAGCACCAAATTATGTCAAAAATCACTTATCCGACACTAAACTAAGTTGAAAATACTAAAGAGGAATTAAACCAAAATGAAAATCACTAAATCAGCACTAAACTGTATTAAAAATCACTAAACTGATAATAAACCAGACTAAAAAACACTATACTAGAAGTAAACCTGGATAAAAATATCTAAACTATCACCAAACTATGTCAAAAACCACTAAAGTGGCACTAAACTGAGTTGAAAACACTGGATCAAAATTGAACCAAGATGAGACTATAAAATTGGAACCAAATTGGGTTGAAAACACTAAAATCCACGTCGAGGATCAAACACCAAGGCAATGACACGAATTAGGCATCCCACAATAACAGACAATAAGAAGAGCAGTCGATGAACAAACACAGACAACTACAACTTGATGTGGCGGGTCGGGTTCAACCGCTAGGCAAGTGAAGCACTCACCTAAGGCTAGGCCCACTCACCCAAGCAAATTGTTCCATCACCAAATTGAAACTTGAATAATTGTATGTTAGGTTTGAAGAAAAGAAGAAGAAGAAGAGAGTATGAAACAAAGTGGTACGATCACCTATTTATATTAATAGAAAAGTAGAACAATAGGAAAATAACGCTCTAACAGGATTAAAGTAATACTACCTTAGATAATTAGCAATAACCAGGCAGCCCTTGTACAAGGGAGAATAATTGGGGATAATGTTTTGCTTGCTTAGGAACTACTAACAGATGATCACAAGAATAGAGGGTCTCCCAAGATTGATCTCATAAAAGCTTATGATATCGTTGACTGGGAGTTCATCACCCGGGTGTTAAGATAGTGCAATTTTCCAGAAGGTTTGATACGATGGATCATGTCCTATATGACAACACCTAATGGAAGCCCTCGGCCAAACTCTAAAAGATGAAATTGCTTTTGCAACGTACTTCAAATCTACTGGCGATGTAAGAAGCAAAGACTTGTGCAACTTACCTTTGCGGATGACGTTATCCTGTTTTGTCATGGTGATACTTCGTTAGTTTCTATTTTGATGGCAGCAATGGACAGATTCGTGAAGTTATCAGGTATGACCGCTAATTCAGAAAAGTGTTCAATTTTTATGGCTAGGATTGAAGATTTTGTAAGAGAGTTTATCAAGAAATGTTTTGGGTTTGAAATAGGGGAACTGCATATTAAGTAGCATCTCGGTATCCCACTGAATTCCGCTAAACTTAGACCAAGAAATTGTGTAGCCTTAATAGACAAGACTGGAGCAAGAATTAAAATTGTTGATCAGTAGGACACTCTCCTATGCTGGTAGGTTGCAACTGATAGAAGTTGTGCTCTACAACATGCAGAGTTATTGGTTGTGTCATTTGGTCGTACTTAAAAGGGTCATTAAGGAGGATGGAACAGCTTATGAGGTCTTTTCGGTGGATTGGTTCAGAAAACAGAGCAAGGGGAGCTAAAGCTGCATGGAGTGTTGTGACCTAACCTGATGCGGGGGGGGGGGGGGGGGGGGGGGGGCGCATCAGGATTCAAGGAGTTGCATGCGGAACAGAGCTTCAATGCTCAATATATCTGGTTCATTTTTACTGATAAAGCTATTATGTGGCCAGAATGGGTTAGATCTATGTATATGAAAGGCAAAAGCTTTTACAAAATTATAACATCCAAGGTTTGCATCTTTGAATTGGAAGAGAATCCTAAAACTCAGCAGTGTGGCAAGACCTTTTATCAAAGACATTATTGGAGATGGGAAGGCTAATATTATATTATGGCATGATAATTTGCATCCTGAAGGGCCTCTACTCCACTGCCGAAATGGTCTAGCAGAATCATGGATGACTCCTCATTATCAGCTAACTGCACTGGTTGAGTGGATAATTGAATTGATGAAAACAACCAGTCCTGGGCAGCATCCTCTTCTTTGGAACTACAGGATATCAGCAATTCTATGCGTAGTAACTTTGCCAAATGCACAGCAAGGTGATTAAATCAAATGGCCACTCAATCTTAATGAAGTATATTGTGCTCAATCTGCATGGAACTACCTACGTTCACATTCTCCTAAGGTGCATTGCATAAGCAAATCTGGTTTGGACAGGCCATTCCTTTAATGACAAGGATTCAGTACTCCTGCCAGATTGGCTTTTGCTTATTTTGTGTATCCATACTGGATGCTTACAGACTTACAGTGGTGACCAAGTTTGGCCCTTGTATATTTACTCAGCAATTTGTTGATTTACCCAAAAAAAAACTCTTATATTCTGAAGTAAAACAATTCTCATATATCAACATACTCTACACAACTATCACTTCTAGGAGGAACTAGACTGATTTGGTATGACGGCTGTCTCAAAACCATACCTACGGAAAGCATTGTGGAAAAAGAAAATTCCCACCATTATGTTAGTCATGCAAACCAACCCAAACCCTACAAAGTCTTATCCACATAATTGGCATTGCCTACATAAATGTATTTTGGCTGTTCTCCTCAGGACCAGAAGTGCATCGGGGGTCCTCGGATGTCATGACATAATCAAAAGGAAAGAGCTCTGAAACCCCTAACCCTGTTCCCCAGACGTTTGTCCCCGCCCACCGCGCCCACTTCGCCCTCCACGACCACGAGGTGCCCTTCCACGACCTCTGCCCAGTGAAGATGATACCACACCAGCCTGTCTTAGTATAGCCCTTTGCTTTGCCCGCTCTTGCAAATTAATGGTAGTAGACAACTTAACTGGTGAAACCTGTTTCACTTCTTCTATTGCTGATGCAACACTGGGGCTACCTTGCTTTGAGACACCAACTTCAACAACAGTACTACTTGATGTTCCATCACCACTACCCAAAGCGGCCTCTGGGACCTGATCAATCTCCATCGCAACCTGGTCATTACCATCGTTAAACTTATCTGGACCCTCAGCAAGTTCTTCCATTATATCACCTTCATCATTCTTCTCATCATCCAGAGCCTGAGGAGAATTAACTCCCATGATGTCCATTGTTGCAGGAAGCACAGACTCATCAACCCCAGGGGAACTCACAGGAGTTACCACCTGTTCAGGCTGAAATTCCCCAACTTCTTGGCCTCCAAAGATATTAAGCGTACTGCTACCACCTTCAAGATCAGTAATATCTGGGACCAGCTCTCCCTCTTCCCTCTCACTTCCAGATTCTGTTGTTGGCTGCTGGCTGTCTTGCTCAGCCTGACCGCTTGACTGATCATCAACCGCCACTCTTTCACTTGGCTTATTCAAATCCTCTTCACAATCATTTTCACTATTCTGCAACTCAACTTCATTGTTACTATCTACTTTTGGCTCCTCAGATTGCTCCCTACCAGACTCAATCTCATTCTTTTCGGCGCGCATTGCTTCCTCCTTCAAACATTGTGGTGAATCCCCAATGTCCTCTAAAAATTCGGAGGTGGTAGGTTGGATTTCAAGGGTTTCCAAACAAGCAGCAGTGGGACCTTCAACACCATCTTGAGTAGAATCTGAGACTTTGGACCTTTTCAGCAAATGTGCTGCCACATCTGAGCTGGTTTCTTGTGGAACAAATGACTCTTCATGTAACTCTGAACTGGTTGGAGATGGGCGTTTCCGAGTAGATGGTTGGTTTGGTAGAGTAAGGTTTCCTTGAATTTCAATATTGTGGGATGATGAGGGCTTCCCACCATGGTTAAATCCTTCTGTTTCTGACATCTCGAAATTTCCCTGATGTTCTTCAGGCTTAGCAATATGAGGCCGGACCAGCTTCCTCCCCATTTTACGGGTTTCAACAGTTGTTTTCTGTAAAGTAAATCGGTTCTCTCTATCTTCTACTGACTTGGCTAATGGAAAACTTGAAGAAGGGATCACTGGGGATGACATAATGGGGATTGGTGCAGGAAGTGCCTGACCTGCAAATGAATATGGGGGTGATTCCCAAGCTAAGATTACTGACATCCAAAGGTAGTAATAATGTGAAAATATAAAAGAGAAGTGAAGGAAGACACCTGTAGTAGCCTCTAAAGGTGTAGTGTCCACAAGAGAAGTGTCTGCAGGAATATGAGCTCCAAGCTCATTAACAACTCCCTGTGCAACCCGTTCAAAATCTTCCGCAGCCAGAAGATAGGCAGCAGCAAGGTTCTCCAAGGGAATGCCAGAAAGGAGTTGAACCACGGAGGCATTCTAATTGATCATATAAATCAAGATTCAGTTGCAGCCAAGGACGGTTTCAGATAATAATACAACAAATTGGAGAAAAAAGGCGTACAAGCATCAAGATCTGTTGCTAAACAGCTCAAACTTTCGAATGCAATAAAGGAAATGAAAAACAATATTAAGAAAGAATGGCTTATGTCCAATAAGTTACATTACGATAAACAACGTAAGCCATTAGGTGAATCAAGGGGGACCACAGTAAAAAAAGTGTGATTTTCCACTTTCATGCATCTGAATATTTGACCTCACTAGCCCAAGTGGGTCAAAATCCCACTACTGGAATAACTAACAATGCTTCAGAAGAATAACAAAAACCAAAATGCAACCTAGAAAGGGCTATAAGTGAAGACACATATGGAGAAAATACTCGGTGGAGAATAGTAAAAAGGAGCTGCTAAAGTACAATTGCTTGAAGTGCAATTTCTTCCTTTTATTTGAATGCATGGGCCCGCCCCTCCAGATACCACATTAAAATTACCTAATAAGAACATAAGAAAGCATTTCAGCAGATTAGCCAAATAATATTCTCACCTCAGGTTGACCGCTTTTGGCATGTTTCAGCTTCTCAACTTCATCTGTGAGCATTTTTAGAGCCTGCTTATGTTTCTCAACCACATCTAACAGCTTTGATCTTCCCTAAAATTGATGAAAAGAGACAACAAAATGTGTTCACTTGCAGAAACAAAGTCTTCAGAAAAGGGGAAGGATTTATTTTTGTTTTTATTTTCCTCTATTTTTGGGGTGGGGGTGGGGGCGACAGAGACCACTGCTTTTTTGCATCAATGGGCCAGGAACACTAGTTTCCATGACACAGCTTCATGCCATGCAAATTATGAGGTGAACAACATCCACTTCATTGTTCTGTGACTTAATTTAAAGGGGCCATCAATTGTACAAAAGTAGCCTTTTAATAGCAGATGTTGGAGACTGGAATTTCTCTATTTATCAGCTAAAACTAATTTTTGAGAAAAAAAAAGTTATGCAAGCAGTAAACAGGACCAATCCGTCTGAAGTTGTATTGCCATTTCCAATCAACTCAAATGCTACCAAACAGATATTTGGTCAATCATGAAAGAACTTACCTGAATAAAAGTAGCGTAAGAATCATTAATCGTTTTCTGAGTCCTCAGACGCTGTGCTTTCTCCAACTTGTGTTCCTCTTTCTCCTTCTTCAACTCCTCTCTCTGTCTCTCTAAAGTTTTTTCCAAAATCTGAGCACACATTTGGCAAAATGAAAGGTTAGGAAAAAGAAGGGGACAAGAAAAAAAGAGGGGAGAAAAGAAGAAAAAGGGTGAAAGAAAGAAAGGGAGGGTGGGGGGGGGGGGGGGGGAGAATATAGGGACTAATGCTCTGTGGTATGGACCTGTATCCTGGTGTCTTTTTCCTTCTCCTTTTCATTCATGACCTGTTCCCCTACAGCATCCCCTATGCTCCTTTTCCCTACAATGCATAACTAAACAGTAAAACCAAGCATTTCAATGTGAAATAATGCAACAGATATATCGTATGCAAGGTAGGCCATACCTTGCCTAGCATCCTCTAACTGTTTGGAGAGAGCTTGATTCTCTCTGCTCAGTTCCTCCTTTTCCTTTGATAAGTTCTCAGTCTTCTTCTGCAGGGTGGTATAAACAAAAAACACCAACATAGAATGTCAGGAACCAGATGACAGCCAGCTTAGCCCCCCGAAGAAAAGAAAAAAAGAAAGAGTTCGTTTTTCACTGCACTAGTTAATTTGAGTCTATAAGACAATCTAAGAGATTATGTAGTCAGAGAACAAGGAAATATTTGATTTTAAAAGACATGTTAGTAACTAAACAACCTTAAACTGAACTATCAACTTCTTTTGCTTTTCAACATCTGCTTTTAGAGAAGCCTGCATGACAAGAACCAATCAGAAGAAATTTATGAAGGATATAAAGATTGTGACCAAGAGTAAAGGGTTAACTTTTTGATTCTAAATTGCATGGGCTGAAGTACCTCAACTTGTAAAATTTCATTTATTCTGGTCTCCCTTTCTTTCTGTTCCATTCTGCTTCTTGCAAGGTCTTGCTCCATTTGTGACATTAAATCCTGCTTTTCAGCCGCAAGTTTCCGAATATCCTCTAACTGAGCATCCTTCTCTCTGAGCTTTACCTAAAAGACATAGTGTAGAAAATGTAAAGATAAGATACCAAAAGCTAGAGCAACAATATAACAAATGAAACAGGAAGAAGACAATGGCAAGCAGATGTAAAACCTCAAAAGTTTTCTCTGGAAAATCTCACTTCTATAAGCTATCACACGTGCAGCCTTAACAAGTGATCTATACTGTTAAACTTAGCCAGGACCATAGTTGTCTCCAGCTTATCTCCATATTATCCCCACTAATTAGAAAATTGAAAAGTGGCAATTGCTTGGTCCAAAAATGCTCAGCTTGTTACACAAGAATGCAGACAGCGAGCAGCCACTTGGTAAAAAATACGACAACTTGAAGGGCTTCAGGCACAGTTCAAATATCAACCATTTGGGAGGAAGAAATTGGAAGTTCCAAACAGCTGCAAGATTCTGGAGCTTAAAAAAATTGAAATCTTGAAGGATCTCAAGGAAAAGTCGGCAGTAAATAAACTCTGTTCCTCCTCTTTTCTTCTTTTTTCTTCCTGACACGACCAGACAAGTCACAGCTCGTGTCGACATGTGCTCTTTGTATAGTGGAGACATGTCCGATCAATATAGTGACAATGGTATAGAAAACCAGTAATTCCATCAAACAGACTCGCTTGAAAACGGTATTCAAACCAGACATGCACTCAAGCGTATCCATATTGACCCAAAAAAAATCTATTTTCTTTTCCTTGACTAATATGTATAGGTCAAATAAAGGTTATGAGAGTAAGACCAATTGTTTATAAGTAAAAATTGAACCCATTTGGTTAAACATTTGTGTAATCCCACTCGTCAATAACAAGTATAGCAATCTAAGAAAAGAAATGTGGACATAACATGTGTCAAAAATAAATAAAAAAGAGCAACACTTAAAATAATTGATACAAATTAGAAAATAACACAGGAACATAGATACATATATTAAGGGGTTCTAAACGGGTATATCCTGCCGGGTTCAGCATTGGCATATTAACCCCACTTGAACTATGTATTAACCAGGTTACATAGTTGTCCTTCCACCTGTTTACTGAACAGGTGTCCTTAGGTTCAATCTGCTGAGCTAATCAAAAAAGGCCCTGCCAGGGTTAATCCATTTAGCTGATTACCCTACCTTGACCCCACTTACCATGACTCCACAAAGCATAAAAGAATGAAATGAGATACAACAATTGAACACATGAATATCAAGTAAACAGAGAACATCAAAATCAATAGATCACCTGCATCTGCTGAACATCTTCTCTCATTCGATCAAAATCTTCCACATCAATATTCTTGCACCTCTCAAGTAACTTTAGAAAATAACCAAGTTACAATGCTGATAGATAAATATATACACACACACACCAGAAACTCCTTGTTAGAAAAATCATTTTTTACAAGAAATACCTCATCAACCCTCTTTTCCAGGTGCCCTTTCTCCATCTTTTGTCTTTCAGTTTCTTTCCAACAAGCCTCCACTTCATTTTGTTTATCCTTCAGCAATGTCTCAAGATTCTCAGTTTCAATTCTCACTTTCTGGATGGCTTCACGTAGTTTCTAAGAGCAAGACCAAGAGATATGGTCAGTCAATGCAATCATTAATTTTCATCAACAATAAAATTTTTAGTTTACTAACTAACTACGGAAATCAACACCACTTTATAGTGGAGGTTCCCACATCGAACCTGGCATTCTTCAAAATTGTGTTTGTTTTCCTCTCTAAGTTGAACGTTACTTTCACGAAGTAAGTTGATTTCTCCAACCTGCAAAAATATTTTGTCAAACAAAAAAATATATATTTAGAAGGAACAATATCTAGAATGCAACAGTTAAGTTGCAAAAGGGAAAAGACACATCATTTCAAACAAATTGCAATGCTTATAATCCAAACAAAAAATAATCTTTTGAATAATAATTTATAAGGTAAAAATGTATTCCTTTTTAAGATTGTGATAATTAATATCTAGCCTCTAATGGATCAAATATAACTAATAGGCAATGTAAATGTATTAATATAGAGCACCAGATTAGGTTCCAAGATATGGAAGAGAAATGTAGACGAGTATCAAAGTTTTTTGGAGTGAAAAAGGGAAATTTTCAGTTAAACTTGAATAAATAGAATGAAACCTAGACAAAATCAAAATAGCCTATTAATGAGTTGACACTTGATATCAATTGCTCAGTCAGCCCTGTGAAAATTTATTATTAAGAATAGATATAAATGAAAAAGAGCTTTTATGATAATGGGTAATGGACGGTCCAATCCACGAAACTCCCATCATTATAGAATCTGGGTAGGGTCATGTATGCACCCTTCCCCTGCATGCATGCAGAGAAGTTATTTCCGTGACTTAAATCCTTGACGCCCAAATCACAATAAAACAACCTTACCATTGCACCAAGTCCGACCCACCTTTTATAATAATGAGTATTAACAATTATTAAGAAACAAGGTTTTAGTGCAAGGCAATTTCTGGATTTGTGCACATCAGCCTTGCACAGGGATCAAGCTAAAATGTGTGTTCCAAGTTATTGAATGTCCCCAAAGAGACAAGTCCTAGTGCAAGGCAAGACTTCCTTCACTGAATAATAATCTACAAATTCATTACACAAAGAAATGCAAAAACAGGAGAACAAAGAATGTGAGCACCATGCTATTTTTGTGTCAGTTGCGATATGATATTCCTTTTAAGAGTTGTTGTCTGATTGTGTGATATATAATCCTCTTTATGATGCTTGGAAGACTTTTGTTGAAATAGAATCATCAAAAGATAGGATGGGGCAGACATTTTGATCGAGAATAAGTTTAGGGTGGAAGTGATCATCAAAGAACAAATAATAGGGAAGAGATGGAAATTTATTGGTGCAAATCTATAAAAGCGTTCCCTATTCTTATTGGATACCACCATCAGGGGTCAGGCCTAGGTTTATGTCAGTCATTTGCAATCTGATGGATCCTTCATCCTTTCTTCCTTGCAACAAAAGACAAACCTGTAGTGTAACTTATGTTATCCTAATCAACTAGCAGCAACATGACCATTCAACAAACAATAAACTGTAATACACTTCTTTTTGAAGTAGAATCCATCATAAAGTAGAGCAAAGGGGGAGCAACCTTAGGTACAGATGATATGCTCCCGAAGTGACTAAGCCAAGATAGAGACATCTTTATTTTGTTCGTGTCCAACAAACATACATGCCCTAAGACTAACCGCAAAAATTTATCATGTTAGTGTTTTATCTCATTTCAATATACATGTAGTCCACAAAGTATAAGTTAAGAATATAGTTTCTAGAGATGTTGAAAAGACGAGACATGTACTTATTAATACCTAACTCTTAATAGTTCCAAGTCAAAGATACTAATATGACACTCTGTAATCCGGATAGAATAGCATGCACTAGAACTTGCACATATGTGATCTTTGGAATCTTGTCTCAAATCTCTATTGTATGGACAGTTAAGCAGGTATTATCGATGTTTGTTCGAGAACAAGAACAGTGAATGTGACCATTGACTAACATAGAGCTTTCATATACCTGTCAATTTTAAGTCCAACGTGAAAATTTTGCAACTAATCTGTTGACCTAAGACATCATGGTTGTCTTATGCATGGACTTCTTTGGTCTAACTATAAATCAACTAAGTATGTAGCTTGGATAGGTATTGTTGGGCATAGTTAAACATACATGGAAACTTATGAGTGTAACAACATGAAATTTATCACTCTTAACAAAAAAGAAATGGAGAATGTCCTTGGTAATCTTGTAGGATATGACACAAGGAGCCATTGGCCAAAGCAGAATAACAAAAAAAAATCTAAAAAATTATGAGTCATAGTCTAGAGATCAAACACATAGGATTGAGTTAGGATTTTGAAAGCAATTCCATATCCTAGCAATTCGATTTGGACATTCTGGAATAGAAGGATTAATGTGCACCACTCATCGACTGAAACTAAAGAGGTTAAAGAGAATGTAGATGGGGAGTTAAAAGAGGTTGACACACGTGTCTATGCCAAGAGTAATCAAAGGGGGTGAGTAGGATAAGTGGATGGGATGGAAGAAACTTGAGCAACCTATTAACGAAGGGACGTACCAGTTGGGCAGAGGGTAGGTGAAAAATACTCTCACCAGCCAAAAAATCCTCTCCCACAATGGGCAAGTAATGTGGGTATTTATAGCACAGTGCTCGGGCTGCCCGCCGTGACCCCCTACCACTCGCGCTAACCCACAACTGCCTCGACCGCAACAATACCAATGGCCGTTAACGGCAAGCCATGCGTCCCAACATTAACTAGGCAGATGTGATATTTCCCCAAACGCAACCTGGACGTGGCCCCAAGGAATATGAGACAGCTAAGGTGAGAGAGAGCTCTCAAGGTCCATGATCGCAACTGGTCACCGTGGGACCATGACCTCAAGAGGACCATGCCCGCAATGCCCCCAACGCGCTCTAGCCTAGGGTCCTTCTTTCCCTCTCTAGACCCTTCCTCGAAACTTTTGTTGAGGTACCCGATAGAGGAAACCCACATAATTTCGGTCCTTCAGCCACCAATCCACATGTCCCATCATCCCATATGCTGATCCAGACCAATAACCCCAGTTACCTTGGTAGTCTCTCCAGATCTCAGTCAAGCACATTCCAGCTGGCAATGAGCCATACGTTGGGAGGCTTACTTGAGCAAACTAAATCTTCGAGACCCTGCCCCAGGCCGAGGTTAACAATCGTGCTCCTTCGCCCCTATTGCTCAATTCTCCCTTAAGGGGGACCGTACTCCCCTGTCCCTGGGTGGGGACACCTCTTTGTCTAGCGAGCCAGTCGAGCAACGACATTCAATAGGTTAAGGATACCAATCCCGCAGCGGGGGAGGCGAGTCCCGCCGAGGTTGCCCCCACACTTCTGTAATTCCACTTTTGTTCAACTTTGGTGAAAGGTCCATTTTGACACTTCCAATGCGATGGAGATGTATCTCGCCCTGATGCGGTATTGTGCTTGAGGGCGCTGCGCCTAGGGGCGTTGCGCCAATGGGTGTTGCGCCAAGGGGTGTCGCGTCAAGGGGCATCGCACCAATAGGCGTCGCGCTAAGGGGCGTCGCGTCTGAGGTGTCACGTCGAGGTTCTCATACTTCTGTAATTCCACTTTTGTCCACCCTTGGTGAAGCATCCACTTTTCTACTTCCAATGCGATGGGAATGTTTATCGCCCTGTTGCAATGTTGTGCTTGAAAGTGTCGCAGCCAGGGGGTTGCGGCCAGGGGCGTCGCACCTTAGGTGTCGCGCATGAGGGTTGTGCCTTTGGGCGTCACGCATGACATTATTATCTACACGCGCCCAGGGGGCATCGCAGCCAAGGGCGTCGCGGCCAAGGGGAGTCGCTCCCAGGGGCGTCGCACCTTAGGTGTCACGCATGAGTGTTGTGCCTTGGGCGTCACGCATGGCATTATTATCTACACTAGTCCAGTTGACGCTGTTAGAGCATCGCGCCAAGGGATGCCGCACTTGTCAATGTTATTTATACCAGTCTAACTGAACTCTGTCAGACCCTAATTCCATGTCAACTGATAAACATTGTCACTTGTCCTGTTATGGTAGAGACACGTGTCTTTTAGTTTTTCGAGTCCTACAGAGAGAAAAACCAATCACGAATTAACGAGGGTAAAAGAAACTAAAATAAGAGTTGATTAGAAAATTAGTTTTATTAATTGTCAATCAAGGGCTATTATGTAATTATTGGATAACTGTAACCAGGACACGAATTAGGGTCTCATTGGACTCTACATAAACCTCCTAAAGAGATGGTTAGCCATAAGGATCCTTGGTAGCACAAGAACCCGCCACTCCCCCTCCCCTCCCCCTCTTTTTTTCTAATCCATCAAAAGTGAAACTAGAGCCTTCAAATTTGTCAATTCGTGTAAATTCTGATAGAGGCCATATAATTTCAAAGCTCTTGGTACAAACCAAATTAAGAATTAAAGATTTAAAGCTTTGTGAGATAGCTTGTGGGATTTTACAAAAAGACTTCAAGAGGTAACTCTTAGTCTACTCATTAGATTTTGAAATATCAATATGCATCAAAACATGAATAGGTCTTGGTTTAATGAATTATTTTTTTATCTCCACTAATATTTAACGAGTTTCTTGATATAGATAGGGCTATATTCCTCAAGAATTTTGAAGAGTCAATTTTGTATTGCATGGTGTGGAGAACATCACATGCATGCTATATGGCACCATCCAGTCTAAGAAGCATGCATGCGTACATACAAGGGACACCAATACTACATGACACTGACATGCAAACACAATATTTTTCAAAATAGGACCAAGACGTTGGGAAAACACTATAAAAAACTGTTTTGTATATCAAAATAAATAATTATTAAGAGAGTAGAAGCCCAATTATCTGGGGCCAAATATACGTGACTGGAACGGTGGAACCCATACCACTCACCTAAAAGTTTAAGCCTATAGGTGGTGAGTCCATCTATAATATATTAAGTCAATTTCACTTCTTTTTCGATTCGATGGTGGGACACAAGTAATAACAAAGAATCTCCCTTTCATATGTGAATCACATCGGGCTTAACTCCCATTTAGGTCCAATTCATTACTCTCTACCAGCACTGCGTTTAACCACTCTTTACGAGAACCAGTTCTTCCAAGAACCAAACTTTTACCACTATCACCACATTACCACTCTTCTAAAACCCCTTACACCCATACCCGAGCCTTGTTCTTGCATTTGCATGACTTCCATATCCAGAGCCCACACTATTCTTACAAATCATTAATGTCAAAACACTACACCGCTTCTTTGAGAGTTCACTAAGAATCATTAGTCATCGATTATGATACCACTTGTTAGGAGAACAAGGACGCTAGTGATCCAAGACCCAAAACCTATTCATAGTGAGTCATCCACAATATATTAGGACACTTTCACTTCTTTTTTATATCCGATGTAGGATTCCCACACATGAAATGTACAACAAGCTCCCCCTCATGTGTGAACCACATCAGGTTTAGCTCCTAATTGAGTACGATCCACAACCCTCTACAAGCACCACGTTCAATCTTCTCTTCTAACAATCAAAAATTTTCTCTCTCTATGAGTCACTGCATTATCACTCATAAGAGCCCTTGCACCCAGAGGTTCATGTCGTGCTCTTATCAAGGGTTGCGTTTCCATGACTTCAATACCAAAAGTACCTCATTCTTCTTATAAGCTACCATTTATACCCACATGCTACACCGCTTCTTTAGGAGTTCACCTACGATCGTCAGCTATTGGCCCGACTACCACTTTTTGGAGACTAGGAGCCTAGTGATCTAAGGTTGAATATACATGTCTGGAACTCACACGCACCTAAAAACTTAGACATATAGGTGGAGAATTCATTCATAGTATATTAAGTCACTTTTCACTTCTTTTTCTATTCGATGTGGGATTCTCACACATGTAATACCCGACAATAATGTAGCATAGCTAATAGATATAATTTTGGTATTATAAAACATAAAGAAATCAATACTCGATGTAAATAAATCTTATGTTTAGACTAATAAACCGTAGTAATCGATAATCATCAATTTGTTTATACACAAAGTTAAGTAAATATGCAAAATAATAATGGTTGTTCTCATCTTCCAAGTCTTTTTTTATTTAGTAAAACTTCTATAGAAAAATTTGAAGTAAAACTTTAGCATGATTAGTCTGAACTATTACATATTCCGAAAGTATAAGATATCATTTGTGACATTTTCAATCTTTTGGACACATGTCCGCTACTTTCCTAGTAGTTTCCATGTTTCTTAGAATCCTAATACAAGGAAAAAAAAGAGTACGAACCATAAAACGAAATAAGAAAGAAGGTTACACCCCAGGTTTCTAAGAAGTAACAAATTGACAAAGAAATAAAACTGAAACCTGAAGTTGTAGACTTTTGAACTCTTCCTCTGTGAACAACAATGTTCTCGAATTTGCTCGCTCGGCATGAAGTGATGCTTGGGCTATCTCTGCAGCCTTAAAAGCATTCTCAAGCTGAAAAAAACAAAAGAATTTTAAGTGGAACAAAGGCTACGACAGCCAGATTCACCAGAAATGATCGCCACAACAATAGAGGTGGACTTCAAACATGATCCATATAAGTAACATTTGCAAACAAACATAAATATTTGCTACTTATAATTTTCTGTATCTGTTGTCAGCAGAGGTCTTCATCCCAGATGAATTTCAAAAAGGGAAAGAAACAAGGGGCATATGGCATGAATCTTGAGGTAGAATCAAGAGCAGATCTGGTCCGTTCAAATGGTGTTCTACTGCTGCACATAATAAACCCTGAACAGGAACATGTGTTTACCAAATGTTCTTCATTTTGGCAAGAGTTATTGTTACGGTCATCTTCAGATTACTATCAGTTATCAAAATTCGAGAACAAAAAGGAATAAAAGAAGAAGAAGAGAGTTACACTACCACAATTCACCACCAAAGCTTCACTCTAAACCATGTAATTGTGTCGCTCAAAACCTCACTGAGGCGTCCAGACAACATTTTAGTGATAACTTTATCCAATCTAGTAACCAAGTACCAAACTAATAGGCCTCCAATCCTTAACCTTAATCGATTGATCTTTCTTAAGAACTGAAGTATAAAGGTAAAATTTACACTTTCTCCCTTACTCCATAAGCAAACAAAATTATTAAAAAATGCATAACATCAGAAAATGCCATTGTAAAACCTTAAGGACTTGGAGCCCTTTCCTTGTTCATTTCCAAAACAGCTGTTCTTACCTCCTCTTCCTCCTCAAAAAGCCTCGCAAGCCAACTTGCTCTCTATTGCATTATAGGACACAAATCAACACATTTGCTAGTAGGACTAAAAAGAATATCCTCCTTATAGACACAGTTATAGAACTCTGTGATCTCCTCAGCAATCAACAGGGTGTCACAATCTCACCTGACTCAGTTTTCAGCACTCTAATGATGCTCTTTCTCCTTTCACACTTTCCAATGGCATAAATTAGAATTGCCGAGAGGAGCAGCCCACAAAGTAGTGGTTTCATGTCTACATAAACCTTAAACAAATTGATTTTGCCCGCCAGAAGTTGAAACAAAGGCAAAGCATGGTATTTGCAACTTGCAGCACAGCAGGATATTTGCTAAAAGCCACACTAAGAATAAACTGATCTACCTGTGATTGCAACCGAAGCTTTTCCTGTTTTAACAAACAAATCTCTGTCTCTGCCTGTAACAATGGGAATTAAATTTCAATAATACATTACTCAAAAAAATGCAATGTACATGAGTCAGGTGAAATACACTTACAATTTCCTTCGACCGCCGGAGATAGTTTACAACGTTTTGTAATCCAGCGTCATGTATTGAATCTTGACCAAAAATTCCAGAAGAACCACGGTCCTTCTCAGCCAATTTGATGTGAAGAGCCTCCAGCCGACTGTGCAATATCAAGTTCTGAAGAAAGCAGAAGTTCAGATGAGTACAATACAAAAACCAAGAACGATACATTCCACAACCTAATGATTTGCTGAAAGCATCATTAAAACATAATGTCTAATAAGAACCTCAGAAATTATACCTACATAGTCACTGCCAAGAAGAGCTTAGTATTTCAACCAAAATATACATAGGACTTTAAGTGTAGGAAAACAAGGGAAACTTCTATAACAGCTTGAAAACCAGAAAGAATTAGTACATAAGTTCACCCACTGATAAGGTAAAACCATTTTGTATAAGCAAATGGCAGCACATTGATCTATTCGGAGCATGCAATAATTTTGATAAAACAACATTTCCAGCAAAAATATGCTAACAATTTTGAAAACTAAAAGTTCAAACATTCCATATCTACTAGTCAAGCAGTCACTGAAACTTTACAAATATATAAACACTACACATGCAACGTAACGTGATCGCATTAGTATTACCAAATAGAAAAGGTCACTAACACTTGTTTCCCATGAAGTGGCTATATTTTACATAAAAAGATGCAATAGATTGTGAACTACATTCTTTTAACTTTTATTCCCAGTTAGCACAGAAGCTTAAAATTTAAATGGAACTTTGGGTACATGTTCAATCTAATGCCAATTGCTAGATTACACTTATGAAGTCAAATCAAATTAGGACAACTCTTTATTGATCCTTCCACTTTTAATCTGGTTTTCATGGAAACAAAACTATGGATCTCAATAGTTTCAGCCGCAAAAGATTAAAAGAGTTATTTGTGTAAGCTTGGGAAGTTTTACGATGCAGATATAAGCACTACAACTGGTGAAACACAATACTCATGTTATAGCAACACATCCCTTCCCCTCAAAAATTCCAAATAATCACAGACACGTGCACACAATTACACCAAACTATCCTAACACCACCTCCAAAACTTCCACCCTTGAAAAGATTTGATGGCAAGTGGCAACTATAGGCTTTTTTTATAACCTACACCACCACTACAACTATGAAACAATAACATTAATCAAAAAAGGAAAAATTCAAGTTGAAAATATAAAAACCACAAAAAATTAAGATTGGAAATATAAAACCGAGTGGCTAGCAAAGCATCAGCATGTTAGCTCACTAAGCATATTGATGAATCACCTGCTCGTTAATATCCTTATACTTGTTCTCTGCTTTATTCTTTGATTCTTCAAGCATGAATTTCTCAGCTTCAAAGTTGACCTTTAGTTCATCCTGTAAAAAACCGCAGTGGCAGAAGTTATCAATTTTGGAATATGAAAATCAAAGAAATAAGTAAAGATGTGACGAAAAAAGGTTGGAACATTGTCAGATAAACAAGGGCATATTTCGATTCAGTATACATTTATTGCATACCAAGAATTCCTCAAAAGAAAATGGAACACAATTCTTTGCAATACACATTTATTGAATATCAATGATACCTTCAAAAGCAACAGCAAGGATGAATATATCAAACCAAATTTCCATAAAAAGTTCAGATCCCTTAAAACTAAGGAATAATATTTACACTAATTGGAAAATAAAGAGATTCTGAGTGTGGTTTACTAGAAATTCCACCAATCAATGAGGAATTTTTAAGACTGAATAAGCAAACAAATAGCTGAAACATGATACCTAGTGGCCTGCCAAAGTCTAGTCTTACAACCATTGAAGGACTAAATGGACTCTAGCATTATTCAAAATGTAGTTGGCAAATCGGTCCACTTTGAAGCAATCCTGTAGGATTTTTGAAACCACAGGCCATTCAGTGGCCTGAGCAAATATTGACATACAATTTTTTAACTTGCTAAATGACCACCACGTGAACCTTTGTAGCTTTCCAAAGGACGAAAAAACACATCTAATTACCCTTCGGTAAATGTGAGAAACAATAAAGAATCCAAATTCAGACTGGAACACAAAAGCCAGCTAAACAGAAACTACTAGTTATGAATTGTATTATGGCTTGTAAACCTGCATTCACTATGGCCCAAAAGGGGGAAAATAAAAGTTAATCTCTCTAAGAGTTGAATGGTAAGACAAAAACTATTTTCTAGAAACAAAAACAGCGGTAGCTGTGGTACCATCCAGACTTCTGCTTATAGCCCCACCACACCATGATGAAACAATGTTACAAACTGATTTCTGCTTATCCGTTGCTTACCAATCTCCGACAGTCCAAAAGAAAACATTTTACACCAAAACCAAATGTGGCTGCACCAGAATGCAAGTGTAATAGCTCTTTCCCACACCAAATTTATAGAATGCAGGTATGATGAGTTCATTTAAACCACTTTTGGTGCATTATTGCCATAGGTGCAAAGGAGATGGACTATTTTGCAACCTCAAATAAACTCGTACCTGACAGACCCAGCAACTACAGATTGATCTACCGGTATCTAAACACAACCCACATTGAAGCAAGTGATCAAGATAACCATTTACATAGTTCTAGCAACAGCGATGATTACTGTTAAACGTAGAGACTCAAAAATAAAGATAAACACATAATGAAGAGAAACATGGACAACAATCGTACAAAATGTACAGGCAAAATGCAATAACCAAACATATCAAACCCATTTAAAGTAAGCTCATTTGAATTCCAAGAAGACAACTACACATTGGCACCTTGCTAATTGGTCAAAGGTAAGAAAAAGACGTAAAACTAACTTCGTGTAAAATACAAATAATAATACATTCAGTTCTTAAGCAAAAGAAATAAAGAGATTAAGAGAATCATATGTACATGCAAACTCACCACAAGCAAGCACCTTTAAATCCAACAGACAACTAATCTAGCTATAACTGGACAGAGATGAGAAAAATGAAAAACTGATGTGGCACAAACAGGATATTACATTTTGAATTTTCAGAGTGTCCGCTGATTTACGAAGCTTAGATGCTTCCTCCTGCAGCGAAGCCAACGCTTGCGATGTTTTTGTCAACTCTTGGATTGTCTCCGACTGTAGTATAACCTACAAAAATTACAATATATGTCACAAACAATGACCAACAAACATGACGAGAATGTCTCGCTCAAGATTATGGATGTGAAAACAAGATATAATCCCAATGGATAATGGCTGAAGTTAAAGAGAAAAAGTGAATATTTACATATTTTCAATCTTAAGAACAAAGCACACTAAACCAACAAAACAAAAAAGAGAACACAACATGATCATTTGAACATCCAGTGTGAATATTTAAATAACATTTACTGTGTAAATTGAAGTTATCTAGTTCTAATTCAAACTCTTACTGGCCCTTTTCTTCCTAACAAACATCTGGTTTGAACTTATCACCTACCACCATCTTAGCATGAGTGATATCTCCTGCCATTCCTACTCAGCAGGGTTCTACTCCTAGCTGGGGAGATGCATATTTCAGAGATACCAGTCCTGAAATTGTTGTCTTACCCTATACCAGATGCCACACATCAATATCAACATGATGACTTACACCAGAAATTCCCCAAATCCGGGCAAGCTATTGTCATATTTGTTTACCTTTCCAAAAGAGTCATCAAACTAAAATTATCATGAAAGACTTATTTCCCAAGTCCCACAAATACTACATTTTTGCTTTTCGAAATATACCACAATAGATGTAGTGTCAAGTTCACAAAGGGAAGTAAGATAAGTTGGATATCTATGAGAAACTATTGATGAGCTAGGGCTTTAATTAAAGGAATAAAAAGACCTTGGTTTACAAGTATTGAGTTAAAGGTTGTTTTCCACAAATCACCAAGGACCAAAATTTTGTTTCGAAACAGTTGTATCAATTAAAACGTTTCTGTTTTCAAGAGAACCTAAACGAATCAATGATTGAATCAAAATTTCAATATTCCAAGGTGTTTCAAAATATTTTGTGTTATTTCAATATATTTCAGCATGTTTCTACCAATGTTTCGAGTTGTTTCAAGATATTTCGGTATATTTCGACTAATGGTTCAAAATGTTTTGAAAATAAATACCTAATTTACATATGTTTCATTCTATTTCTGATATGTTTCCAAAATATTTTTCAAAACGTTTATGTTTCCTAGGCGACCGAAATAATGCACCATTCGAAATTTTGATCCTTGGACGGCACAAAATGTGCATAATAGAATATGAGTTAAATACTAAGAAACAAAATATAAACATTAAATTAGAGCAAAAAGCTAAAATCTTCCAAAGACCATCACAAAATTTTCACCTAGGAAAAAATAAATGAGTTGCGTTGCATAGCAGTGCACCTAATATGTAGAAGTATAATTGATTCAAATAAGAACTCCAAAATTTAAATTCTCAACAACTAAGTTTTGGAAGAATCAAACCCAATAGGGCTAAAACCAATTGGCATTGGGTGAACAGGCCCCTTAACCATATAAACCAATCTTAGACGGGCCTAATCTTTCAATGAGAGATACAAGCTCTCTTCATACCCTCTCTCACATATGACTTGGCCTCACACATGGCCTAACAATCTAACCAAGACAGACAGAGAAACTTATTGGGAAATTCAAATGGGTGAAAGACTTGGCCTAAGTGTCAACCCTAATACTATGTTAGAAGCATCCAACCCATATATATAGCCTTGAGTAGCCTTAATCTCCTAACGTGGGATACAAGCTCTTTCCACAATAACAATTTTCTAAATTCTAAACAAGTTTACTAGTCTACACCGATACCGGAAAGCTTGGTCTCCAAACTACAATAAGATTAGTAGCACACCCCAAGCCCTATATGTGGACCCTCTTAAAAAAGGGAATTTTCCAATACAAAAGGAGGTATGATGTTGGTCCAACTAGATTTTAACAAAAATATTCCCCATTCAGTGTTGGAACCATTTGTCCAATTAATAGTGCCCAAATAATCTTTTCTCTGATCTACGTTCCCCAAACATATGTGAAGTAAATCTTTATTAATAAGCTTTCTCTGACCACAAAACATACATTGAGAGATGCATGTGCAAATGTGTAAAAATATTTTTGGGCCCATATGAGCACACAAAGAAAATTGTGCAAAACTAGCGTACTTACTATTCTCCAATTGCTCCATAACAAAACATTTCAATACATTTGGAGATTCAAAAAGAATTTTTCAAGAATTTCTATGCTTTTCCTAATGAAATCTCTAACACTTACAAGAAATAGGACTATCATACATGCCCCCCATAACCAAGCAAATATCGTTATGTATCCACTCTCAGTCCCCCATTGTCTCACACATAAGCCCAAGATTGTGAATGAAAATTACAATTAACTATTATGCAATCTCACATTCCATGCAACTCAAACATCAATCTTATGTCGACCCAGCCCAATAGAGATTGCGTTATGTGCTATAGCAAATGGATATGACCCGATTTGGTTCTTCAGACCGGCTTAGATGGGCAATTTTGATGACACACACAACCACAAACATTTCAATGCCTTAAATTACTCAACTCAATAAATTATTTATCCCAACTATTTGGGAATGGATACATAAATCCTGTTTCTTGTGCCATATTTTTCTGTTAAACCGTGAACTATCATATCCTTTGTTACTATTTCATTCAAAGTTATTTTTGGCGTACTTTTACCTCTCGCATTACCATCAATTTGTATTAAATCACTCTTCCTAACTGGTGCACTGCTAGATTTTCTAAAAATATGTTCAAACCACCTAAATAGATTCTCTCTTAATTTTTTTCCTATTATGCTACTGTTATGGATTCACGAATATACTTATTCCTAATTATATTATTCATTATTTTTCTACCACACATTCATCTTAGCATCTCATTTTTACAACACTTAGTTTTTAGTATGTTATTTTTAATCATCCAACATTCTATATCGTAAAGCATTATTGATCTCATAGTTATCTTTTGAACTTACCTTTCAACCTAAAGGGGGTATATCGATGACATGATATAGTACAAGCACTCCTCCACTTTGTTCATCCTACTTTATTTTATGATTAACATCACCTCCGAAAGTCGATTATTAAACCCAAATACCGAAAGTGTACGCTTTTCAGTATCTCTTGATCTTCAATTTTTATTAGCTCCCTATATAAATTTATATTATTCCAGCAACTACATTCCATATATTTAATTTTATTTCTACTTATCCTAAATACTCTTGATTCTAAAGTTTCTCTCAAAACTTCTAATTTATTGTCAATTCTTACATTAGTTTCATCAATCAATATTATATTATTTGCAAATAGTATACACCATGAAGCCTCATATTGAATGTATCTAGTCAATTCATTGATAATCAAAACAAAGAGATATGGACTTGAGGCGAAAACCTACTGTGATTGAGAATTCACTATTTTCCCCTACAATTGTTTTAACTAAAATTACTGCACCCTCGTACCTAATCATATCAATATATCTATTTATAACTCTCATCTACTTAAACCCTCCATATAATGTCCCTAACAACTCTATCATATGTATTCTCGAAGTCAATTGTGATAAAGGATTTAGGATGCATAAATATCTCATGCAACAAAGAATAGTTGGCTCAGAAAACGTGGATGACATAGGTTGAAAACAAGTTGACGATAAAAACCAAACACAAGAATATGCATTGGAGTTGAAAAGCAGCAAAAATCTTGAAAGAATATACCTAAAAGAAAAATATGCACATATGTTCTTACATTACATACACAGGCAAATGTATATATAAACAATTACTTAGATATGTTTATTTCGGCTAATATAGGCAGCATACCATAATACGATGATATAATACAATTGAAAAATAATATTAGCCAACAACTAAGCAAACCTGTCTTTCATAATTGGCTTGAGAGGTACGCCATCTTTGATGCTCTGTCTCCAAATCATCTTTCAAAGCAGAAATTTGTGTTTCCATCACCACAATTTGGGACCTAAATGTGGTATACGAATATGAGATGCCAGAGGGAAACTCAAATAAAAGGACAGCTTAAATTAATCACTGAAAACCCACATTTTAACAGCAGTTTCTTCCCTTAGACGGGCAATTTCTGAAAAAGCAGAAGCTAAAGCCTCTTCTTGCCTTGCAGCTGCAGATGCAGCTTCGTTGTTCTTCAAACTACACTCAACTTCAAGTTGAATAACCTGCTCTTGGAGCGATGACACTTCTGCTCCAAGAGATTTCTTCACTTTATCCGCCTAACAATCATTTGTAAAGATCAAAACTTGAACCAAATTGTTGAAACACTCATTTCAAGCAACAATGGAACACCATAAATACCTCAACTTTGAAGTTTTCATGAGCAACTTCCATCTCTTTCAATGCAGCTTCATTCACCTGTGTTATGCTTTTATACTGCAAAACAAAGTGCAACTTAAAGCCCAGTCCACAAGACATTCTTGCAAAAAAAAAATTTTGCAATGTTAGGTAAACACCTGCAACATGTGATCCTTATTAACTTGTGCTTCCTCTCTCAGTCTTTGAATCTCTTCTTTGGCGGTATGCAGGTCCACAAAAACCTAAAGCAGTTTATTATACTGTTAAGCATTTACCCACAAGTGATGAAACAATGAGGCCATTTTATTAAATATCCAACCAAAGCAACTTTTAAAAGATGGTAGCACGACCGGATAATGAGTAAGGATGACTTCAGGGGATAAAATGACAAATCGATTCTGATTCCATTTCTTACAATTACAATATAATGGATTCCCATCATACTAACATTGAAAGTTAATTTGTACCACAAAAGGTTGTCCAATGTTGAAGAAGAAATGCGATCGCATAAATACAAGGATATGGCACAAGAAATGCAATGAAAATAGCGAAGCACAGTTAAAATAGTATCTTTTTTCTGTTATTGGAGGGAAGGGGGTTGAAGAATGGGGAGGGAGAACATTGGCTAGGCATACCACAAAAATAATATGGTGTAATTTTTTTTTTGCTTTGTGATATGTAGCGCGTAAAACTAGCAAACTAGAGATACACCAAAAAGGAAAACAATAATATACGAATGAAACAATCAAAGGATTAGGTACCCTCCTAAAGCAAGTCAGAAATAATACATGTTTGTAAACTCTGTCTAGTAAAGTTAGAGAAGTTTAAATCCAGGTGTGGTGATCCTCTTTTTATTCAGGGACCACGGCCAACACTTCAAAACTGAAAACCTTATATGGACATAATCCAATCACAAATTTGTTAGTGGCACTCAACCAATTAGGGTTAATAGTAACTTCTGGACAAAGGTTGACGACAGAGGTAACACTCACTTGACTTGCTGATAAGTGTGATGAGCTTATAGTTCTGCAGCAACTATCAACCAATAATAATCCCTAACACACCATATTGACAAGTACTTCTAATCTTCCATTTGGCTTTAAACTACCACAAATTACTAGAGACTTGAGTACCAGGGAGGTTAAAAACAAAAAAAAAAAAAAAAAATCGATTGAATCTTCAAGACTGAACCCTTTATAAGTACCAAAATGAGTGCAAACCAAAAAAGCATATGTGACTTCTTGCAGTTAAGTCAGTGTGTCAACCTTCATCTTTTAAATATTCCTGGCACATCTCCTCATGTCACCAGAATGCCAAAGTTCAAAAACAAGCCAACAATCACATTGGAGGAAAAATCAAAGTCCTCTTTTTGGATAGGTTATCAAAGTCCTTTCGTATACCGTTTGCAATCAAATAACTATGGGATGGCACAGACCTCATCAAATGAAGAGGAGGAAGGTACAAGTTCACCCTCTTTCTCAGAGACCTGCATCAGTAAAACAACATCAAAGGAAAAAACAGTGAGCAAGGCAGGGCATGCGCGAGGAAGAGGAGGAGGAGGAGAAGAAGATGAAGAAATTCAACTATCCATAAATGTGAAATTGAAGAGAATGTTTAACAATGTTTTTTTAAAAGATCAAAAACTTCAAATGCGATTTTAAATCAGGCCATAATTTTACATCTGTCACTTACATGCCATAGATATCAGCTAAAACTGTCCAAAATGGCCATTGCCAAAGACGATGGCGGACAATATCACCATTATTTTCAACAGCATAGGTTTTAATTGTCAAACTTCTGCCTCTTAATGACATTATTTTGAAATTCAACCCTTTGCGGAATTTATTCTGACATTAAACATTACAATTTACCCACTGCCACATCTTTATAGTAACCATGGTGATGCAAATCAAGCATAGAAAAATAGCTAGCTTCTTAAATGGTAAGCCTGAGTTTTTATACCATAAAACTTCAGGCATTCATGATAATAAAGCTAAGACCAAATAAAGACATGGTAATTGAGCAGCTCTATAGTAATAAGATAACGAAGATGCCTGACAAATGACTATAAGACAAAGTTGGGGAAATGTTAAGAGAAAATACAAATTATTAGAAATACCTTGGTTTCTGAAAATCTGATTTTCTTCTCCAAATCAGAACACCGATCCTGGATAGAATGATTATATTAGAAGTGACGTCCAAGAGCTTCAATTTGTTATGGTCAAGCAAGGAAATTAGACATCGGCATATAAAAATTCAGAAACAAGCAATATTTGCACAGAAGACATAAATGTCTAAGTGGAGACCTCAGCAACAGCAGCTCTAGCCTCAGCCGCAGCTACAGCATGCAAAGCATTAGCTAATTCTTTTCCCATTCCTTCAACTTGTCTCATGGCATTCATCATAGCATTTTCTCGCTCACGTGTGAGAGTACGAACATTATCACGCTCTTCTATGAGCTCTTTCTTAGCCTCCGCCCACTCTCTCTGCATATGCATTAGATCTCAACATATCATTCAAATTTTAATAGCAGGAAATAAAAAATGACTTGGGTGAGTATAAAGTTACACGGAAAAAGAGAGGACCCTGAATTTTTTTACAAAAGCATTCCTGTATTTAACATGAACACACCTCAATTTTTTTAATATACTCCTCCTGTTTTCTCCTTTCTATGCCTCTGGCCTCCTACAGCCATGAAAAATGACAAAAGATGTGACAGGACATTGTTGTGCAATTTCAAAGATAAGTACATATAAAAGGTATTTAGAAGACACGCTACCTCACGAACTTCCTCAGCACTCTGAATAGTGTCCAAACTAGCCTGCATAAAATAGAAAAATATTTGCAGTAAGAAGGAAAGCTCTCATATTGTTGCATTCCCAACCCGCATATAATATATATACACACACACGATAAAGAAATAGTAAAAAAGGATATGACAGCTTATGGTCTAAAGGAACATATGGTCTTTGATAGAGCACAATCAAGAAACAGGATTCATGCAGCCAACCCCAAATAGTTGGGATTAAGGCTTTGTTGAATAGAGTTGTATGTGTGTGTATTCCGGAAAAAAAAAAAAGAGAGAAACAAGAACACCTGCAAACGATGAACCCTCTCTGATAAACTACAAACTTCGTCGCAAGCTCTCTTTTCAGAATTTCGCAACAGCTCCTTTTCATGCTTTAAAACAGAGACCTGCAGAACAATAGCATTTTCTAGTAAGTGTGCTCCAAGTAAATCCTTGGCAACAAAAGCATTTAATATAATGTTCACCTCCATAGTCAACTTTCGTGAAAGCTCCTCTGCAGCTTGCAAAGAATCAGAACCTCCACGCAGCTTTTGCTGGTAGTCAACTACTAACTGTGAGAATTCAACATTTCTTGCTATGACGGCATTGGTTTCGTCTCTCTGGCATGCAATGCATCATATATAATAAGAAAAACATGTGCAAACACCAAAACCCATGTTTTTGTCAACTTTGTATCTTCTCGTTATAATGAATGTGCATTGATTAAAATCACCTGATGTTCGAATTCTTTCATGAATCTAACAAGTTTTTCTTGCGCAAAATTCGCTTCCAGTGCCAACTTGTCACGCTCTGATCGCAAGGATTTCATCTCACTTCTGACCATAAATCAACAATAATGTGAAATAAAATCCTAACAAGACATTTAAATTTTTTACTTTATTTCGGTAATGTAAGATTGAACACCAAAGTTACACAGATGATAACGAGGACAATGCTGAAGAGTGTGCACCTTGTTATAAATCTACTTTCCTGAAAAAGTTCAAGCTACTAAGAACAATTCAAACCATGTGTGACAAGCTTTCCCACAATCACTCATATAGAACCCGTCACTCACAGGGAGACAGAAGAAGTCGTAGGATGAAGGGTGGGCAGAGAGGCAGAAAACTGGAAAATAGATATAACTAAACAGCTCACGCACCAGCACCAATGGGTTAAGCTTTTCATGGAATGGACCTCGAAACATATATCAAGGTCCCATACAAACTGACCTATAAACAGAAGATGCACGGAAAGCCCAACATCCAACCTACCACATACCCATCCTCTTCTTCCCCACCTCACAAAAACAAAAAGGAAATCAATTCACCTCAAGTCAAGGATCAAAATGTCGTGTCGACACGTCTGAAACGTTTCGGAATTTCAACACTCTGAAACGAAACAGTAGTTGAATCACAAAATTCCAGTGTTTCGGTCGAAACGGTACTATCTCGGACCGTTTCGAAACGGCACTATTTCAGACCGTTTCGGTCGAAACGGCACTATTTCGAACTGTTTCGATGAAACAGTGATATATTCGGTTCACTATGAATAATTATATTTAATACCCCACTATAATTACATTTAATACCCACTGTAATTACATTTAATACCCACTATAATTATATTTAATACCCCACTATAATTACATTTAATTCTTATTGCTCTTCTGCCTTTTATAATTTTTTTGTTATAAGAATAAATAATTACACTTAATACCCTACTGTAATTATATTTAATACCCATTGTAATTATATTTAATACCTACTGCAATTATATTTAATACTCCACTGCTATGCAAGTCTTTTTTTTTTTTTTTTGTTATAAGTATTAACAATTACATTTAATACCCTAATGAAATTATATTTAATACTCACTGTAATTACATTTAATACCCACTGCAATTACATTTAATTTTTAAGTATACATAAGTACCATTAATTTAATTTCATACCCTTCATTATTAGTATTATAATAAAATAATATTATTAATTAGATAATATTATCGTAATAATATGAGTTGGAGTAACTATTGTCATCATATTTATGTCACATATAGAGTTTCTCTAAGTAGCTACCCAGAGCCTACACCGATGTATGAGTCTGCTCGACACTCCACAAGGGGTGGATGTAGCCATGTAAGTATGTACTCGTTAGCATTTCATGTGTATTATAAGACCTTAATATTATGTAAAAATGTGTTTATTTCATAAAAATTAAGTGTTTGAAACTAATTTAAGTGATTTTCGCCTCATGTCAAGCCTTTTTTTTCCTCCAATTTAAATTTATTCTTGTATAGATGGATGTTAACCCAATAAATATATTGAATTAATCAATTATTTAGTTTATCTTTATAAATTAATGGATTATATTTGTGTTTCTATGCGTTTTCATATTTTTCCAGCATTTCCAAAGCGTTTCCGAAACGTTTCCATTTTTGAACTGACCGAAACGATACTTCGAAATAAAATTTCGATCATTGCAAGTAAGCCTATCCCAACTATGTGGGGAAGACTATATGAATCATGTTGATTGTACCATCTGGGGACGACTACATGAATCATGTCATTGTACTCTGCCTAGGTCATTTTTTCAGTTAAATTACAAGCTCTCCCTTCTTTCTTTACCATCTCAATTGACATTAAGTTGGTCTACCTCTATCCGTAGAGTTATTGTCATAAGATATCACATCATTCTTTCTCACTGGCATACTTATAGCTCTTCTCTTAATTTGTCCAAAGTTCAAACCATCTTAGTCCTTTCTAATAAATTAAAATTTTCAGACTTAAACATCATGGTAGCAAAGTAAAAAATTTACGAAACCTACTTGTTGAAGGTGATCTATCCATTCTCATTATTTGGACAAGTACGGGTTTAATGTAACAGAGGACCTCAGCCCACCAACACTAGGCTTAACAACTAGGGCCTAAATTTATAACCAAAGCCCACCTTCTAGAACCCATCAAAAACCGACTCCGTACCCTTGTTTAAAGCATTATAAAATTCAAATTTGTTTGTTTATCTCGATAATTAGCATATTTTCCGCCACTAATCACCTCAATTAAGTTCTTAGAAAAGGTATAACATAAATATTTATATTCTTCAAAGTTCAACCAATCTGCTCACGCGCAACTAGATGTTGGACCAAGAGCATCCAATACAAAAATAATTAATAATGAGTAAAATGTCTCTTACAAGTATATAAACCAACTTCGAGTGTAACTAATCTTTCAATGTGGGATATCAAGCTCTCTTCACAACTTGCACCATCTAGTATATACATCATTTAAAATAGAATAAATAGCACGTAAAAAACCTCATAAGAACGGGCATAACATGGTGGAAGGGGTGACTTGTGAGAACCCTCATAGATGCCATGAAACAATGTTATGCCATAACAAGAAGAGTAAATGGAAAGAATAGGCGCAAGTGACCACTAGATTGACTTTGAAATAAACTGCCCCAAATTTTTGTATCTGCCAGATCTTGTAAGCAATCCTACCACGTACCCCCCCCCCCCTCGGACCCTCTAAACAAAAAAAAAACCACATAAAAAGAAAAAAACTAGAAAATTCAAAGAAAATATCAAATTCACCTTGATTTTGCCATTTCTTCTTCAAGACATTTCACACGCTCTAGGGCCTGTTCCTGGGTTTTTCTTGTAGCTTCCTGTATTATTTGAAAACTCAAGAAGCTAAATTAACAACACCACGAAACATTATTTTTCTCCAAAAAAAACTCTTTGGTAGCCATACCTGAGAACCTTCGAGCAGAAGCATGATGTCCTTCCTCCTATCATCTACACAATCAAGCCATCAAATTATTCAGCCAGATGCAAGAAAAAAAAAACTAGTAAAGACCAACAAGTAATTATGGAAACCAGATATTCAACAAACAAAATACAAGAAAACAACAAATGGTGATCAGGTACTTTTTTTTTTTTTGTGTGGTGGTGGTCGCGGGGGGGGGGGGGGTGTGGTAAAGGTGACTTGGCTGTAGCATTAGAAAAATACTCTCATCTTTAAAATATTAATAATACAATACACCTTCAACTCTAATGAGGCATGGAATTCTAACCTACGATATCCATGATAAAATAGGTAAGCCGCTGTGGATCTGTGACCCAAGGTGCATTCAGATTTGCAGACTATATAGATTCATGAAAAACCAATTATGGTGTGTACGGGCCATTGACTCTTCTGATACTTTTCCATGTAAGTCCTTTTTTGATTCCTTAATTGATGATCTTTCATTTCATTCATGTCACCTGGCATTCAAGATTTGAAGATTAAGGTGTCTTTGAAAGTGCAAGTGTGTGCATGGGTCATTGTCTATGGTAAGATTAACAACTTTGATGGGCTCCAAAAGAGGAGACTTTATAATAGTCTTTGCACGTGTTATTAAATAAGGGGGTAATAGGGTCATTACACTGTACCCTATACCCACATATATATATATACCTTTATATCACAGTGTTCAATAAGGAATACGACTCCTATTTTCTACTTTATCTCTCTCTCTCTCTCAAGTTGCTACAATACATCTAACATGGTATCACAGCCATCATCTCATCTTCAAAAGATTCAGCCATTATTGATTAAGTGATCAATCATCATCGTGTTCGCCCTCGTCTTCCTTTACTGTTGATGTGATTGTTTCAACCCGCTTTCACTCATACTATAAAATCTCCTACCACACTGGTGTACTCCCATCATAAAAAAACCGTTGTCCCAAGTCCCAACGCCTCTACATCTCTGAGTCGTCTGACAGTAATGATCTCTTGCCATCTCTGAATAGCAATCTTCCTATTGCACTTCGAAAACGGAAGTGCACTTGCACACTTCTTACGAGTTCTACTACTCATCCTATTGAGCAGTTTCTTTCCTATGATGTCTTATCTTCTAACCTTTTGTTGTTTTACGTTGACTGTTTTATCTATTATCATTAATACATTTCATGAAGTTCTTGCTCATCTTGAGTGGTGTCAAGCTATGGAAGAAGAGCTCATTACTTTGCATCACAACCAGACTTGGAAACTAGTTTCTCTTCCTCCTAGAAATAAATTAGTTGGTTACCGATAGATGTATGTTTTCAAATACTTGCCAGATGATTTTATTGAGCGATGAAAAGCCAGATTGGTTGCTAAGAGTTTTACTCAAACATATGGCGTGGATTATGTAGAAACATTTTTTCCCGTTGCAAAGATCTCATCTGTTCGAGTCATTATCTCTCTAGCAACAAATTTCTAATGGCCATTATTTCAATTAGACGTCAAAAATGTTTTTTTACATGGTGACTTGTTTGAGGAGGTTTATTTGGAGCAACCACTTGGGTTTGTTGCTCAAGGGGAGTTTAGAGGTAAGGTATGTTGATTAACGAATTCTGAATCTAGCATGATTGCTTTGTTGTCTATGTAGATGATATTGTTATCACAGGTAGTAATAATGAAAATATTATTACTCTAAAAGCATTCTTGCTGCTGAAGTTTCAGACTAAAGATCTGGGTAGGCTACGGTATTTTCTTGGATTCAAGTGGCTAGATCTAAGAGTGGCAACGCAAGTATGTTCTAGATCTTCTGGCTACAACAAGGCCTACTGATACAAAATCAGTTGATACTCCCATAAAATCCAATACAAAACAAAACATGGAACAAGGAGAGTTATTTAAACATCCAGAAAGGTACATGCAACTGGCGGGTGAATTGAATTACTTGACAATCACCAGACCAGATATCTAAATTGAATTACTTGACAATCACTAGACCAGATATCTCCTTTGTTATTAGTCTTGTAAGCTAATTTATGGAATCACTGAGACGTCGTGGTTAGAATCTTGAGGTATGTGAAAAAGACTCCTTGTCAAGAATTATTATATAAAGTTTATGGACATTTACATGTGGTTGATTTTACTGATCCAGATTGGGTTGGTTCCCATTAGATAGATGTTCTATCGCGGGGTATTGTACAATTCTTGGAGGAAATTTGGTGACTTGGAAAAGTAAGAAATAGGGTGCTGTGTTCCGGTTGAGTGTTGAGGCAGAATATAGAGCTATAGCTCAAACTACATGTGAATTGATATAATTGAAGAATGTTGCATGAAATTGGTATTCCACTGACCTTTCCAATCTAGTTGTTTTTTGATAATCAAACTGCACTTCACATTGCCTCAAATTTGGTTTTCCATGAGCGAACAAAATACATTGAGTTTGATTGTCACTTTGTTCGTGAAAAGCTTGAATCCAAGGAAGCAATCACGTGTTTAGTGCGGTATCAACTAGCAAATATTTTCACCAAGTCACTCACTAGAGATAAAATTGTTACTATTTACTCCAAACTAGGACTATTTGATATCTTAGTCCAGCTTGAGGGAGAGTGTTAATAAATAAGGAGGGAATAGGATCATTACACTATATACCCTATACCCATACACACACATATATACCTTTATATCACATTTTTCAATAAGGAATACAACTATTCTCTCTCTCTCTCTCTCTCTCTCTCTCTCTCTGTGTGAAGTTGCTAACATACATCTACCAACCCGCAACGGGTATTATGCTGATAGTTATACTGCCTGGCATTGTGCACTTTTTGCAATGGTGTGGATTATTTGGTTGGAGAGAAATCAAGAATATTCGACAATAAAGAACAGGTGATGGAAGGATTGTGGGAGAAAATCTTTTTCTTAGCTTCTTTTTGGGGCTTCAGTGGCAAATATGTTTGAGAGTATTTCCCTTTTTTGTATCACATTGGCTTGCATCGTATGGAAGCTGGCTTGTACTGTGCAGGATATAGCCAATGTTGATTGATGTTTTTCAGCTATTCTTATTTCGCATGTAATCAGACTGGACTTCTTGCCCACCTTTGCTCATATTATGTAATAATTTCTTCCTATTAATGGAATGTTGTTTCTTATTTAAAAAAAAATGGTGTGTTTTCAGGTTTTTTTACCATGCATCTAATTTACTTGAGGAAAACTGTCAATCGAAAATGCAACATAATTCATCTGAAATTGATGGGTTCTAATCATCACTCTCACGCTACGTTTGGAAGCATAGAATCAGGCAATGAGCATTGGAAATGGAATTAAAAGACAGGATTGCTCCATCTAATTCCCAGTAGCAATAAATTCAAAGGTGTCAGTATCATCTCCTATCATGGAATCAATTAACACATCAACTTTAAAGACCTCAAATGAAGCAGCAAACTCCCATGCTTATATACACAAATAAGATTCAACATGACCCTATATATTATTGCATCCTCATCTTCAACTGAGCTTCATTTTGTTTCTGTAGCTAGTTCCAAGCAGATACACATTCCCAGAATGAAAATATCTCACTATAGTCAACTTCACTAGGACCAATTCAGGTACCATGAGTACATCAATTGAATTCCTTTCAATCAAACTTCATCCAAATTTTAACTGAATCATATCATAATCAAAGGCATCAAATCTCTTTTTTCTGTGTTCGAAAGAAATCGAGGTAATTCTTACCTGATTCCAACAGAATGAATTGTACAATTTTAGTATTCAAATTGAGCCTTATTACAACTGTCATTATTAAATCTGCTATGCAGAACACCAGCCATAAGGCACCATAAAGATTAAAGGCAACACAAACGGAAAGAGATCGCCAAGGATACTGTTCCCCAGTGCAGCCTAACAAAGCTTCTCAAGTGGACGTGATTATCCTACCACATTACTTTTCAAGGAGAAATTGTTTATGGAGACTGTTATTTCCTTCTCTTTCCTGCTCTAACTATGACTTACCATGTAAGGATGCGCAAAAGAAAAAAAGGAGTTCGGGAAGTTGCTGGTGTTGGAGTTAATAAGCTATTAACAGACACTCTTACAAGCACTTATAAAGAAACCAATAAATTCATGATCAAATACTTCGGTTGAGGGAGGAAGCAGATGTCCCATTTATCAGGGGAAAAAACCAGAAATGAACTTTACAGCAACACATGGAAAACAATAAGTATGATAAAAATATATAAGCGATGATGAAAAAGAATCATCATAAGGACCTGGAACTGCATCTTGTTGGAGAGAGGAGGAAGAATGAAGTTTATGCTTCTCTTCATATAACTTTTTGTACATTGCCACCTATCCCAAGGGAAAGCGGAAAAATAAAAAGAAACTATCACATAGCAAACCATAGATAGCAAGAACAATAGCATGATGTGTATTTGTGCATGAATGTAAGCCCATCAAGAAAGCTTACAGATGAATGAAGTGATTCAATCATATGGCCTTGCTCTTCTGCTCTCGATAATACTGCATTGACTTTAGAGGCCGCATCATCCCTATATATTTGGAGCTCCTGTTCAAACTTCTCCTGAAATTGCATATCAGGACCACACTCTCAATATTAGACTGAGGGCTGCATAATAAATAAGAGTCATATAAACAGAAGATCTGATGAAACCTTCAACTCCATTTCTTTATTCTCAATCTGACTAGAAAGGCTGCGTACAAGGCTTCGAAGCTGAACATTCTGCTCAACTAATCCATTTATATCCTTAAAGGTCAACTGCACAAGTTATAGACCCAAAAAGTACATCAAACACCAATCACCCACCTTGCATAGGAAAGGCCTGATATCCACACGAAGAGACAAAACATACCAGCCGCTCGGAAATAACTTTTTCAGCACTGGACTCAGCATTCAACACAACGACAGAAGTGGTCATACCATTGTTCCCCTGATCATGACTTGCCGAACCACAGCGTAGTTGCATGTCACGGCACTCCTTGAGGAGAACCGTAACCTGATATAAAATCAAAAATTATGGCAAAAAGTAAGGGCAGTGCCATAGCAACGATAAAATTAACAGTCATGTGATGAATAACAAATTTCAGCAGGTTAATCCAATCTGAAGACCCTTTTGACGATTTACACCAGCACCCTAAGTGGACACTAGGGGCTTCAATCTGCATTGGACATTGGAAATTTAAAATGCGTGATAAACACGATATTCTGCTGACAGCCAGGCAATCTTATGCAACAACATACTCTTAGGTCATCAACGAATAATTAATTGATCATGAGGTTTTATGATGCTCTCAAAATCACCTGTTTCTGGAGGTCATCAATCTCCTTTTGAGCTGCATTATAGTCACGTTCATGCCTCCTCAAGCCAGCCTGGAAACAAATATAAACAAATAAGATAAAATTAACGGCTGCCACACCCCTTACCCCCCCCCCCCCCCAAAAAAAAAAACCCAAAAAAAAACCCCAAGACACACAACAACCCTGACAACTACCAAAAATGCCACAAACCTGTAATTCCTGGATGGTTTTCTGCCAAGTATCCTGTTCGGAAAGAAAATATTGCAGTTTTTGGTTAACCACCGAGTATGCCTCGACCAATTTCTCATGTTCCGCTGCATAAGTGACAGAAATACTATGAAACCACCAAATTATAAGATGTAAAATGCAAGACAATCCTAGCTTTTCCCAAGTAATTCACAGCCAAATAGTCGATAATCACTCAATTGAGCATGAAAATTATATTTCCCAATTGAAGTCTTAACCAAAAAAGAATTCATACCTCACTGGCCACAGTGAAACAATGCCTAGATATTGCACAAGAAGGTACATTCTTTTACCAGTTATTCAATATTAACTCATACCTCGCTCGTCCAAGATGACTCCAGCTTTCTCTTCTATCTCATATAGGACCTAGATATGAACATCAGAAAGATATACGACTACTTTAAAAAAAGAGCAAAGATTTTGGAACTCAAGATGTGTTCAAATTCAACAAATGTAGTTGTATTACTACCATATCAAAAACTAAAATCACACAATAAAAATTAATCTCAAGCAACAACAATAGGAAAACACACACCCAAAAAAAAAAAGGAAAACATTGTTCAAAACAAAAATTGGTAGAACGTTGAGGTATTCCATACAAATACAGGACATAAACGTTGTATATCCAAAATTCACACAAAGGCACAAAGCCACACCTGTTCAACTTAACTTAGTCAACTAGCAGATTAAAAATAAGAAAGAACAAAATAAAAGAATAAATCATATCATATCACAGCATCTAGCAACATCAGCATAACTTTAGGTTGCTTACTTCAACCATTACAGCGTAGCATAGGAAAACAGAATGTGATTTTGAAAGTCAACTCCAGAGCTGGGATTGTGAATATTATCCCCCAATGTCAATTGTCCTCATCACTATGTGATACCCATGCGAAGAAATCTTATAAAAGTCTTCAATGCCCCAGACCTAAGCAACAAAATTATTTCATATGGAGTAATGTTGGAATAATGCCTAGACACAGCATATGTCATGCTTCTCAATAATTTTGTTGCCGACCAAAAAATAGAAGGAGATATTTGAAAAGATTTGAGAGCTGAGTTTTTCAAGTTACATGAAGCCCAAATGGATCAGTCCAGAATTAAACCAGAATGTAACCCATATGCGTAATTCGACCTGCTTTTTCTTTGCTGGCCATATTTCAGGTTTGCCTCTTTGTATTTTAGTCAAATTGATGGGTTTGGTAGGTCCACTTACTGGTACAAGTGCTTTAGTCAATTCTAAAGGTCCCTTTCCCAGTCTTACTTGACCACCTCAATCAATCAGCCAAAAGTCCTTTTGACCTCCAATTCGAATTCTGAGACAAAAAAGATGTTAGGATTAAGAACCAACCCGTGAGGCTTAAGAACCAAGGTGTGAGAGGATTTTCCTTTTTATCTCCCAGGCATTAGCCCTAAGAAGGCTTATACGTCCATATTTCCTCTCTTTTTTTCTAAATATTCCAATGTTACTTTCCCACACTTCTCAAACACTTTCAGTTCATCTTAAACCTATAATAAGATCTGAGACACAATTGTTTTGCTGTTAAATCCCACCAACAATCCCAACAAACTTCCAATTTCCCTTTTTTTCTTGAAATTATTCCATCTTACATCAAATTTGAAATTTTTTCCATTTATTTTTCCATCTAATTCGTTTTAGAAGCTCTTTTATATGTGTTTCAAATACATTGAGAGTTGGGAGCATTATGGCCAACCCAGGGCTGACTACACGTGGCTACAGCGGGGTATGGGTTCTGATGCAGAGCAAGATATGCAATAAATTTTGGATTTTCCAGAACCTTGTCTAGTCTTCTTTTGGGAATTTATGCTATTGAGCCTTGTAGTCTGTTGTCTCTCCTAAATTTATGTTAGCCAGCAAGTCTTTTTTGACTTATTGACTGCATATTATTGGATTAAGAGAATCTGCTTTATGATAGCACTTACTGCCCATAAATTGTCAAATTTATATCCTGACTTTGCTATGTATGCAATTATCAACTTCTTCCATAAATCTTATTCATCATATAGATTTTTTGAAAAATTAAGTGAAAAATGCTAATGATGAATAATTCAAAGTCATCGGCTCAACAGATATTTTTTATGAATTGTCCTTTGATGAGTAAGATTCAAATTACAGATAATATTGGCTACCAACCACCAAATTAAACCCAAAAAACACAGATCCAAAAGGGACAGGCATTCGACCCAAAAAAAAAAGGGAAAGGCCTATAAACTTTTCATATGTTAGCAATGACATGACACAATTCCAAAATGCATAGATGTGAGGTACTACAACCCAACCAATGACATACATGAAAAATTCCCACAAATTGTATGCTCAATAAGATTTAACATAAACAAGGGATTTTTCTTGAAGGCTATAATTGGATTGAACATTTTTTCACCTATCTATCAAGCAAATCAAATATATGAGGCGAAATCAATACCAAAACAGCAGGCAAGATAAGTGAAAAATTAAAGTAGTAATCAGGTCTTTTTGAAAAATAACTTCCCAATAGACCTCGAACAAAATCAAATGATATGAACTTTCAACAATGGGAAAAATAGCATGAATTTTCTACTTCAATATTCAACTTACAACACTAGAACAAATAAGTACATACATCCAAGTTGAGAGAAAACATAAACAACCAGAAGTTATGCACCAACTAATAAAATCATGTTTCAACAAAACATTTTGTACACAATACCCTCTCCAAAATTGTTTGGGATTGCTTTCTTCCCAATTGCTCATGGCGCAGCGCATCTACAGCTTCTTGGTACTTGGCGTACATTTTACCTAGCTAAAAAAAATACAACTAGACAATTACAATTAAATTTGACAAAAAGAGGCCAAAAAGAGAAAGTTAAACCTATAAGATGGTACATGATATATCCAAATCATTTCTGGGGTGCTTTCTCAGCCTATTTGACCGTGGGAGGTACTCTCCCCATGCATGAGGCCATTGATACAGCAAAATGATGTGGAAATCGATAACCTGAAAAACTTGAGTTATTAGAGACATAAAAGAAGAATAAAACTTACACTCCAACCATCCCGAAGGAGCGAAGCTGCTAACGCAGTTCCAGAAACACCAATTGGAATATTGGGGGCAATAAGGCGATTATCTTCAATATCATCTGCCCCTGCTGAGCCCAGCCAACTGCAATAAAAACCATTCAAAGTTCAAACAATTAAACACCAATCAAGGATCAAGCTATTCTTGGACAACAACAGCAACTGAAATACAAGATTTCAAGCATCAACATGAAAAAATACATGTTGAATAAAGAACTAGAGGTAGATTTGATAGAATGTCAGCTTATTGTGAGTGTTTGAAACAATCCATCATCTTCCGAAAACCTTGATGCATGACAAACTAAAGCCAACAAAGAGTTAGACCACATGTGTTTTAAGGTAGAAAACACATCTTCAGCAGAACCTTGCCACAACTACTCAGGAACTGCTACAGATATCCCATTTAACCACTGACCTTTAATCTAAAAAAAAATTCCTATTAGTAATCATACCATCACACTGCAAAAAAATTAGAATTACGTTAATAAGAGGCCTAGTCAGCTGGAATAATTGAACGAGCTAGCAAGCTCTATGAGAAGTCCAATAGTGTAAGCAGTATCAATAGCAACATAGCAGCCAAAAGATAAGCTAAAAACCATCTAAGGAAACCTCAAATCAAATTAACTACAGAGGGTCTAGCAGTTGGGCCTCACATGGCAAAGTCAGTTTCATTCCTAGACAAATATCAGGAAAAGTAATTATTTTGCGTCCCAAATGGTATGGGGAAATCAAATCAGTAGCTCACAAGTGTATAGCATACCAATCCTTCGAATTGCGTCCAGCATGCCGACCCCAGGAAAATGAGATGGACCCAAGTTAAGGGCGACCACTGGCTATCATCAGTAAGAAGCACACACTCCAATGGATACGTGTTAGATACCACCAAGGTGTATCTACAATTGAAAAAGTTACTCGTATCTTACTGATACTTATCAGATACTTCAGGATACATGTCCAATTTGTCCTGAAGATTGGAATAGCACATATTTCTTATAGTAACTAACTACGATAAGAAACACAACATCAAATTTTCAACGGTTATTTCTTAAATTTAACATATCTGAATTACAATAAAGATAAATCTGCTGGATTTGGTTCCAAACCATGTCCATTAGCATGATTACCAGTTTCTCATCTAAAGTTTCCAATCGCAAGTTAAAAGACCAAAATATTCGACAGATTCAGCAGAAAATAAATATTGGCATTAACTGATGTTCATTAAATTGAAAATCATTTTCTAGAAGTTCAATACATATAAATAGCACCGTGTACTCCTCGTATCCATTCGTGGTATCTCGTTCAATTTCACCATTGCATGGACATATCATGGGAAATCCTACTATGGTATTTGTCCATAGTTCATAGGTCATACATTTGGGAAAAGAAGTTGGTATCACGTTAAAAATCTATGTACCTGTATTATACAGTTAGTAAAGCAAACTTCAGTTTTGCCATCTCATATTTTCAGATAAGGTAATCAGGCAACTACCTTTAATGGGTGGATGAGAAATCCAACCAAAAATGAACCAGCAGAGTTACATCAGTATAAAAACACAAAAATCCTATGTCACCACAAGAACAGCTACATGCAGCTATCCAATCAATAGTAAGGAAGTAAAAAGGCACATCCTTGAACTCATTTGCCGTCGAAGCCAACAAGGACACCAAGTACTTTACTTTATCCCAAAGAAGCTCTATCCTTTCTTCTCTTGCTTCAAAAAATTATGTTATATCTTTCCAACCAAACAACCCATAACATTGTCATAACTACATATTCCCATAAAATGGATGCTCTACATCCTTACACTTCCAGCCCAGTACTACATGGCTTCTTGGTAAAGTTTTTAATGAAGTGCATTAGATAATATTGCAAGTCCACAGATTTGAAAATGAGAAAATCAAGAAAACAATTACAAACGGACAAAGAATGATTTCAAACATCAATGTCATGGTTAGTAAAAATGGAACTAAATCCAGGTCATTGGCACACATAGCATCCGATCGTACTTTATGGTTTATACAGTCAATAATAAGAACCGAGCAACATTCAAGCACAATGAGAGCAGAAGGTTCTCAGTGGAAAAAAATACAGAATACATGAGAGAAAGAAAAGAAAAGGTGCAAACAAGTGGCTTGAACATGCATAAAAAGTTGAAGCCGACTTACGTTTCTGTAGTGAAGCTACTCAGAGGAAGAGGATTCAGTTCTATAGCTTTTCTACTACTTTCCAACTCTGCTTCACATTTTCCCAGTTTCTCTTTCAAGCCTGCGGCTTCCTGTAACCATAGCAGTGCAGCTAAAAGCATTAATGAAACGAGCAATCATAGTTACTTATTCAAATGAAAAGAAATGGGTGTGCTGTGCTAACTAGTTGAAAGTAAAATAAAAGGTACACACTATTGTTAGTTCATCATTCCGATTTAAAATCAATGGAAATTCCAGGGAGAAAAAGAGGAAGAGGCCAAAATACTGAATTGATGTAAGCAAACTAACATGACGCCCCAGAGCAATCCAATATAAGCATGCAAAATATACATCAAACTATAGTCCCAGACATGGATTCATAAAAATTCTTTGAGTTTACTGTTCATCATGGACCTTCAACATGGCAATTGCACCACAAAATCTGCTCATTACTCAGAGATATGGACAAGTCATGTTTTCACAATATCCACAAAGTTACTAAATTCTTTTACTACTATATCCATTGAGCCTTCTAGCTCTTCCAAATGACAACCAATCCATTAGCAAAAATGAAAACTACAGAAAACGACATACCTTTTCAATTCCCTTTCTTGCAGATATTTCCTTTTCGAGCCTCTCTTTATAATCATTTTCAACTTGACTCAAATGTGTCTGCTCATCAATAGCACCAGAAATCAAGATATTCAGGCAAACATCAATATTATTTTCTTGGGAATAAGTCAAACGAAACAAAGCTACAAACTCCTTATAATTATAAAAATACAAACAAGGAATTATGACGAGGTTGATGATGGTTGGCCAAGTTCAAATGTTGGAATTGATAAGATTGCAGATAGAGCTCACCTCCAATGCCTTGATCACACCCTCAAGCTCTCCTGCCTTTTTAGACCATTCATCCGAACTCTCTTTATATAGCTCAACGAGCTTCGTTACCTATAAAAATGGGTAAGCTCTCAGACTGAAAGTGTCAATGCAACTATAAAATATCATTACACATCCAACCAAGATACTAACTTCAGCAAAGGTTCACATTTAAGAAATTGGAAGTAGCAGAAAAACAGCAATCCTCTAAAATTCTAGTTTCCAGATGTTTATTACTCATCTTTGACATGTAAAATTTACTTATTTACTTGGTGTGCCTTACACAAACACCAGCGAAGAAGCTTCTGTTGAATTGTTGCACTTCCAATATAATTATGGAACCTCAAAAAGCTCAGAAGTCCTTCAAGATTCCATCTCTCATGCATTGCGAGAGAGAGAGAGAGAGGGATTGACAGTAGCATCAGCTTCATTAGACTACTGTTCCAGTCCAGATCTAGTTTTGTACTGAGTTGTAATTTTGTTTGGGTTTATCACAGACCAAACATATCCTAAACAAGCACAAAAACAACAGCTCAGATACAATTTGACAGAGGACTATCAAAACAGTGAACCAATTTAATGAGGCAAGCTTTGTTGAAGGCGCCTCACTTGGGCCCTGCCAAGCCGCATCAGTTGGGCCTTGCTGCGCATTGGGCCCAGGCAAATGCTTAAGTGCTCTTACCAACACTGCTCAAGACATAGACAGAAAGCTCTTCTTTTCCAATGTGTGATTTGTAAAAGCTTCATATGGAGGGGGGTATAGGAAGAAAAATAAGGACCTTCATATGGTTTTTATAGACTTAGATAAGGCATATGATCCCTAGAGATATTGTATGGAAGGTTCTAGAGAAGAAAGAAATTATGGTTAGCTATATTGATGTAATTAAAGATATGTACAAAAATGTGATGACCTTAGTGAGAACTACGGCACTGTAGGCTTACATCAGGATTCTGCTTTGAGTCCATATCTTTTGCTTTGATTACAGATGAATTGACTAGACATATTCAGGATGAGCTCCCATGGTGTATGTTATTTGCGGATGATAATGTATTAGTTGATGAAAGAAAAGAAATAATTAATAATAAACTAGAAATATGACAACAAATTTTAGAATCAAAAGGATTTAGGATAAGTAGGATTAAAACTGAATATTTGGAGCATAACTTTGGTAAAAAGAGGAATTCAAATTGTGAAATAATAAAAATTGAAGATCAAGAGATAACAAAAAGTGAACATTTTAAATATTTAGGGTTTATATCCATACAGATTTGAAATTGGTGACAATGTTACACATAGAATCAATGCAAAATGGATTAAATGGACGAATGCATCTAGGGTATTGTGTGATAGACACATATCAATTAAGCTAAAAGGAAAGTTCTATAAAACGGCCATAAGACCCACTATGTTTTATCGTATGGAGTGTTGGGCAACTAAAAAACAACTCGTTTATAAATTGAGTGTAGTGGAAATGAAACTGTCAAGATGAATATGTAGTAAAACGGATAGAATTAAGAATGATATTATCAATGAAACAGTAGAGGTGATACCTATAGGGAATAAATTAAGGGAGAATCAACTTAGATGGTTTGGATACATCTATAGACAACCTACTACTGCAAGAATGAAAAAGAGTGATATGTCGCTATTGGGAGGTAAGCGTATAGAAATAGGTCAAAATTAACTATAAGTGCAATAATAAAGAAAGGCATGATAACATTTGATTTAATAGAAAACATGGCCTTTGATACAACACAATAGTGAAAGAGGATTCGTGTAACCGACCAAAAAAATGTTGGGACAAGGCGCTGTTGAGTTGAGTAGAATTGAGATTTGCAAAAGCTATTATCGATGCTTGGCAGTCAAGAACCAGATATACATTTTGTGAATAATTCCTGAATTCAAGGCAAACTTCACAATCCAAACTTTTAAGGCACGGGAAATGTGATTTTCAACATTGGCAGCATCCCTCAAACAGATATCTACTAATGATCATCTTTTTTTTTCGGAATGTTATTGATGAACATTTAGTAATAAGAACTGTAGGAACTGGCAAGTTTAAATAGTTTGTCACCGATTAAAGAACAAGAGATCAAGCCATCATTTTCTATGCACCAACCTATCCATCTAACTAATAATGAGCACATGCTATGTAACAGTTTATACTCATTAAGACCTTTCTTCTGCTCTTTTCTTCTTTTTGGGTGTTGTAAGTCTAAGGCTACATACATAACTGCCATACTAAACCAAGTTCTCCCCCCAAATGCACCAACCTTTAAAGGGAAAACAATCAGTACCACAATTCACCATCACCACCATTAGGTTGCAACCATAAATGAATATAAGCTAGCACCAAAAGGGTAAAGAGCCATTTTTTTAGTACATAGGGAGGAGTATGTAAAAAAGTCTGCAGAAGGCATCATCGAGGAAAATAGAAATCCTTCGAATATATTAGAAAGCATCATAAATTTCAACACAGAAGAACTATAGCTCAGCTTCTAAAATATGGGATGCAAAATTTAAACATTGATGCAGCCAGTTTTCATTAATCTGACCGTTGAGATTTCGGCAGAAAAGTGCTCTTCAGTGACTGCAGCTGCATCCTTAGATGAGCAGAACTCCTTCACAAGTGAAAATTACATAATTACATGAGACAGTTGAAACAAACCAAATGGCAATCAACACAAATTCAAGATACAGATATAGCACAGAGCATACCTCCTGTAAAGATGTTAGCTTCAACTCCAACTCCCTTACTCTATCTTTGTTCCATTTCAAAGAACTAGAACTTTCATCGAGCTTCCTTTCAACCTGGATGACAAAGAAAAAATGATTAAACAAAATTATAAAGATTACAAGAAAGAAAAAAGTATGCATAGTTAACACTAAATAATTCTCAGGGTGTACTTACATCTACAAGCTTGGCAGACATATCTGCCTCAAGTTCACTGTGGTTTTTACGCAGCTCAATGAGACTGTTAACTTTGGCTGTTAGCTCGTCATTAAGCCAAACATTATGCCTCTCAATGAGTTCTTTCTCCTGCTTGCATCCAAAATTAACACAGCAAAAATTAATTTTGCATAAAACAAAACCAAATTGGCCTAGTAGCAGTTAAAAGGCAATGAAAGCATAAAGCCCATGGTCAGCTTATATTGGCATGTGTTTGATAATTGATTTTTTATTTTGAGTTTGTGATGTGAATTTTTGGAATTGTAGATGTCGAACTGAATACTGAGATATAAATATTGAGAGACTGAGGTGAAATGTTGGAATTTTCACATTAATGGTTTGATAATTGACCTCTTATTTGGATAGTCATCACACAGAACTAGTTTGTAGAAGCCATCGCACACTGGTTTAAGAAGCAAAATTCAATCAAGCAATAACTGCAAACCTCTTTTTAGCACTGATGCACCAATAAAATTGATCATTTGTGATGGTCACCTATCTAACTATGATTTGAATTGCATACTAAGGGGTGACAATTGAGTCGTATCATATCATTTTCGGGTCGTGTAGTTTCAAATTCGTCTAGAATGCTAGTCAATCCGACACATTCAATTACTCATATCAGAATTCCGGGTGCAAACTCAACTTGTTTATTTTAATCGTGTAATGTTCGGGGTTGACACAAATAACCCATAAACCAAAACTCTAAAACTATGACTTCTTTCTCTCTCAACCAAACCCACAATCCACAAGCCTCTAAAACTAAAAAACCACATGGTCCATATGGTATTAAAAACAACTAAAAAATTACATAATGCTACAAGAATTCATACAATATAACATCAAGAAGTGAAAAATTAGATGTTTTCTTTGAACAACACGAGTTAAATGGGTTTGTCATCTCAAAATCATGTAATTCTTGTTTATAGTAAGAAAACCTGTTTTTTATTTGTGTAGCGAGTCCTATTATTAAAGATCCATGCTGGGTACTAATCAACCCTAACCAACCTCGTGTTGTGTCAAAAAATTTCACCCTTGATTTCCACTGAAACTTTTACATTGCATAAGGTCAAGAAAAGATGAAGATAAGGAAAGTAATTGAACTGACCACATAACCATAGGGTTCCATTGCAATGGAGTGGTTTTAATGGCAAAAATTGCACTGTGTCTACAATGTGCATATATTCTAATACACAGCTTGCAAAGCAAGACGGATGACCAAGATGGTGGTACTAGCGTCTATAATATGAGATGGATGCATAAATTGGCCTGACAATCTAACTATATTTAACCCAAAGACTGGCATGATTAAGAAAACAGTATACCGTCAATTCACATTTTTGCATCAATTTTTTAACGAAGACAAACTCCCATATCAAACTTAACAAGGACGCAAGGGGCAGAAACCTGGATGGGAGGGTTGTTTCCAATTCTTGTGTCAACACTGGATGTATTAAGCATAAATGTATAACCATGTTTTCTTCAAATCTCACATAAACATCTAGTTGTTATATCAGCCTCCAATAAACATACTCAACTCAATTCAACAAAACTTTTATCCCAACTATTTGGGGTCGGTCACATGAATCAAGTACCTCCGTATCAAGGGTCATATGTTTCGTTAGATCATAAGTTATTACATTCTTTGTAAACACTTGTAATATTTTGTTTACAGTTATTTTAGGTTTACCTCTACCTGTCGCAATACCACCGATATGTATCAAATCATTCTTCCTCACTGGTGCATTTTTAGGTCTGCTATAAACATGTCCAAACCACCTAAATTGGATCTCTCTTAATTTATGTGGTACCTCTACGGTTTTACGAATATGTTCATTTCTAATTCTATCTTTTCTTGTTTTACCATACATCCAGCGTAACATTTCATTTCAGCAACACTTAGTTGTTTTTTTTTTAAGCATGCTATACCTTAACTGCCCAACATTTCATCCCATAAAGTATTGTTTGGTCTAATGACTCTGTCTTATAAAATTTACCTTTCAACGTAAGAGATATACATAGATCACACGATACACTAGATGCATTCCTCCACTTATTACATCCTACTTTAATCATATGATTAACATTGTCTCCAATCTCTCCCTCCATAATTGACCCAAATACCTTAAAGTGTTTGCTCTGGGGTATCTCTTGATCTTCAATCTTTACTACCTCTCGATTGGGTTTTCTACTATTACTAATCTACAATCTATATATTCAGTTTTATTTAAGAAGTAAAAAGAAAGAAAAAGTTAGGATCAACCAAAGAATGACTTAACGAATTGTTAAAAAATAGCCCTCCCGCCCCCCCCAAAAAAAAAAAAGCAACAACAACAGATTCGGCTTACCTGGGAAAGACGGGCACAGGAAGCATGACAACGTGCCAACTCTGACTCAACATTGCTCAGTCGTGCCTCTCTCAAAGAAGAGCTATCAGTCAAGTTAACCTTTCAAAAATAATGAAACATAAGCAATAATAAAGTTAGATGACTATACACACTGTTTAGTTGTAGAATACAATCTAGCAACTTAATTATTAAGTATCACTTTAACAACATTAATCATCCAACAGCATATATATGTGAAAATAATCTCCAAAGGCAATTTATATCCACCAGCAGTTAAGTGATAGCAAAATAGAATACAAGAAAGTTCAATAATGTACAAACTCCACAAGACAAATTAAGCATATGTGTGTATCGCTTAGTTGACATAATCAGAGCCGCCGTCTTTCAATTCCCAGTGAATGCAGGCTAAGACCACTATCTCTAAGCCATACTGACAGAGAACGCCATAGCATTTCTATTATACCGAGCAAATAAAATGAAATATTAATGGGCTTAGGTGTTGCAAGCAGGGCAGGAATGATACTGTAATACATCTTCAACAAAATCACCAAGACAATATATATAATCTGCGACCATCAAAAACGAACCACAGGTGCAAAGTAATTTCAATTTGATTTAGACAATAGAAAAGAAATATAGATAGAAGAGATTCCACATACAATCTTGTCAAGGTAGCTCTTGATGGTAGCGTTTTTCTCACTAATCTCTAAATCCTTCTGTTCCAACAATTCGATCAATTGCCTCTTGGATTTATGAAGCTCTGAAGCTTCCGTGGACAACCGCTCCACCTCTCCATCTTTCCCCATCTACAAAAATATAAAATAAATTGCCCCAACAAAATTTAAACGAAACAACGCAATCACACAAACTAATGTAAGGGAAAAAAATCAGAGTAGATAGCGTAAGGTTTACGGATTGGAGATGGAGTTGATGCTTGTCTGATTGAAGTTGAGCGAGCTCGGAGAGACGTTGGTCGAGGGTCGAGTTGAGTTGCGAGTGTTGGGATTGGAGGTTGGAGAATTCGGAGGAGAGGGAGACGTACTTCTGCTCGAGGAGAGAGCAGGTCTGCTCGGCGGTGATGGAGGCCGCATCTGCCTGAGCCTTGACGGTCTCGAGTTGGCTGTAGAGTTCTCTAATGAATGCATCGGCCCTCTCAGCCACCAGAGACGCGTCGTGCGAACACCTTTCAAACTCCTCCTCCGTCACGAAAAGCGGCATTTCTTCGTTCGCTTCTCTCTTTCGCCTGCCGCTGCTGTTTTCTTCTCTGTTCTTTTTTTTCTACTCTTTTCAATTTCCCGTGTCTCCATAGGTGAGAAGATTGTTATTTCTTATAGGGCTCTATTCTTTTTTTCCGATTCTTAATTTGTGATTCTTAATTTCTCATGAATTTCTTTTAATTAGCTGTATTTATATTCGATTTATTTATTAACGACGGTGCTTTGTCTTTATACTCAATTTATTTATTAACAATGATAATCAAAATCGATTGGATTGAACTGTAGAATAGCTTGGAATATAGGCCAACAAGTGTGTGTATGAGTGTGAGCATCTATGCTATGTATATAATGCAATAAGAAGGCAACGGTGTGAGTGGTTCCTTTAGTCGAAAAGTTAAGGTTATGTCCACTATAAAGGTGGCTCTTAATCTTTGGAGATTGTTGTTATGAGGTGTTTGGCTTGAAATCTTTTTTATGATACTAATTGTTACACACGTGTCTATTTTGAGTATCAAATATTATTTATTATTATCAAATATTTCAAAATCTAGACCTTCATAAAATAAATAATACTATATCAAAACATTTGAGTAAAATATGTATTTGTTATTTTATTTACAATTTCTTAACTCTTTTAAGAGTTCCTACATCAAATAAAGTGATTGTTCCTTAGCTATTATCTTAGTTGAGAGTTAGAAGTCTATCAATTTCATCCTTAGATCACCATCACAAAATTTTGCTAAAACTACTTAATAAATTTATTTTTCATAATAAAAAATTTGGCATTAATATATTAGACCATCGAATATTACCCTTACTAAACCCATCTCAAATTACAAGCGCATAGGTGACCTATTAGTTATACTTGCTCAAGTGCAAAAAATTAAGATTCATCCAAGTATATGAACAACTGACATCATTACAATAATAATAAGAGAAAACTTTGCCTCCAACCAACTAAGAAATGTGAACCCTTCAATCAAATCACGGTCATACAAATTTCACATTTTAAGTATGATAATATGATTCATAGTGAATGACTTCTCTTATATGATATCCTACCTAATGACAAAACATGAATAGAAATATAAAAATGGAATGGATATTAGCACTATACCTGAACAAGTATGACATTTAATTACTTCCTAGATAGGTGAGCAGTGTTTGATGATGTACAAATTGGTATTGCGCAAAATCAACAATCGAGTATATGTAAGGGTGCAATTAATAAGCAATCAAGGGCAAAACAGTAAATATTGAGTCAACACAAAGATTTATAGTGGTTCAGTCCGTGTGACCTACTCCACTCTTAGGAACGATAGCGGTGGCCGGAGTTCTTTATTGATGAATAAAGTAACCGGAAAAGAACACTCTAGGGAGGAGTTACAATGGTAAGAAGAGAGAAACTTGGTGTGTAGGGATCTCAAATTGTAGAGGTCTCAAAGGTATGTCCTCTATGAGAAGAGGACTTACATTATATAGGTATAGTGAGACAGTGAGGTGAGACGGTCACTATTATTTTGATTTTTGTGTGTATCCCGATATTCTCTTCCTCGTGCTCTTATTCCTTCGGGAGGAGGATCTCGAGTTGGGTCAAACTGAGTCGAAGTGGTAAAGTGAGAAGGTCAAAGGAGAGACAGGAGGCCCAACCCATAGGCGGCGCCAAGGGCTTTGGGTGACCCCCTTGGGCGGCTTTTTTGGGTACTGGTGACTTGGGCTCCTTTTGGGTGCTGATGACTTAGGCCCCTCTTGACTTATTGGGCCTAACCCAGTTGATTTTGGGCTCATCATTTGGCCCTCATGCCCCAAGCCTCTGACTTTTTGCTAGAAAAAGGGATTGAGAGCATGTACTTATTCTTCGCTTGAGTGAGCAGGAGTTTTCTTACTCCTCACGGCGCTTTTTATTTTCAGGGAATCTGTAGAGTTTACTAACATCGGACACTTTTTGCATTTTTTTTTTGGCATTGCTCTTGGTGGGTCTTCGTCTATAAATAAAGGTCTCTGGTCTCTCCCTCCTTGTTCCTCTTTTCATTTCTTATTTCTGGAGGCTTCTCTTAGAAACTATCCCTCCAAACCTCTCTAAGAAGCTATTCAATCAAGCTTATTTAAGAAGCTGTTCAACAAGCTTCTCCAAGAAACTACTTCAGCAAGGCTTCCTCAAGAAGCCATTATTCCTCTTATTTAAAGGCCTCTGCAAGTGGTTACTGTTCATCACCCATTTTTCTTCCTTAGTCTTATTTCTTTTACATCAAAGCAAGGCAAATGGAGACTAGGAGCTTAAGAGTCGTGGGGGAGATGAGCAAGGAGAAACCCACGACCTTGGTCTTATGGGCCGCCCCCATGGAGGTGCAGGGGGCAGCGCCCAGGGTGGAGGTATAGGGGCAGCGCCCATAGTAGAGGCTTGGTAGGCGGCGATGGCCTTGACAAAACGCAAGGTGTGAAAGAGCCTATAGACGGCACCCAACTGGGTGACCATGGTGAGGGTGGCACCAGTGGCGCTCTGGGAATCGGGTCTGATGGATCAAGTGGGAGCTTCGCCCACTTCGGTGTTGGGCTCATGGGATCTGGAGAGCTATTTGACCGTTTGGGCACTGGCGGTGCAGCAGAGATTGGGCGAGACGAAAAAATGGGAGAGTCTAGAGGGCATCCCCCATGGGCAGCGCCAACACAGTGCTGGGCGCCATGGGCGACGCCAATCCCTCAGTGGGCGGTGCCAATTCAACTATAATTCTTCATGTTGCATTTGAAGGAGTCGTCAACACGGCAAGCGAGGCAGACGACACCCCATGAGTGCCAGACAGTGCCCAAGGTGTGCCAGGCAGCGCCCCAAAGTGTCCCAGGCACAGCTCCAGCCTCATCTCGCGACGCAAATGTCGTGGGCGACTCCAGGGAGCATGTGGTCCAATCCAATGAGGGCTTTGGTCTCTTGGGTAGTGCAAGGAAGCGGCGGGGCACTAGCCTAGATAAGACGAACTCTCGAGATATACTATCTGCTACTCATTTTTACTCCTTTGTCCACATGGATATTTCTTAGTTTTGGCTTGATTTTGCTTCTTTTAAGACATTCCTTCGGGCGAGTGAGATAATACTAGGGACTCTAAGCGTGAACCTGGGGACTGATGGAGACAATGACTCTAAGGTAGCCTCTATACTTAGCTTTCTTGATCACAATGATGATATTGCAGCTATAGTTTCCTTATATCACATCCCTCATTCTATGATGTGTCATTGTGCTAAGGTGATGAGCCAACATGTTGCGACTTCGCGAGGGAGATTGTTCTTTTATGAGGGCATATTGGAGGCAAGCCTGAGGCTGTCGATACCTGGGCCCATATGTCGGGTTCAAGAACACCTGTCGCTGGTTCCTGGGAGACTGGCCCCCAAACGGGTGAAGGGTGATATTAGCGTTTCTTGCATTTGTGGCATTTAGTGCATGATGCAACTGTTCCTCCACCATTCAAGGAATTTTTGGTCATGTATGTGAGAACCTTGTTTCTCACCAAGGGTGGTACCGTTTTTCCCCGAGGTCAGGCAAATTCTTCACTGGGCTTACATCGAATCTTCATAGTTGGAAGACCAAGTTCTTCTTTGTTGGAGATGAGTGGGCTACTGAGTCTGATCGTGACTTGGTGCCCACCAGATGGGATACAGTACCCAAGACCAAGCTGGGTAAGAACTCTACCTTTAACTTTTGTTATAGTCATCACGTATTTGTTCTTATAGTACAACTGTCTTCTTGTAGCTTCGTCGACTCTATCTACAAAGCAAGAGAGCAGGCTTCAGATGGTTCGTGACCATCCATTCAAGGAGTTCTCCAGGATCATGTCGACGTCAGGTCATTCCACGGCTTCCCCGAGGCCGAGGAGGAAAGGTACTTAACTCCTCCAGCAGACTCTTTGTAGACACCATGTTGTAGGTTTTTGTCTCACTCTGATTTTGTAGGTGTCCCCATTGATAAATTAATGGTGGAGGTGGTCTGTGCTACCAAGTCAGCGTCTTTTCCTCCTCCTTCTAAGAGGGCGAAGTTTGGTGCCCCTGGTACTCCTCACTTGAGGCTCCCTGGTCAGGCTGGTCCCCGAGAAGCGGGGCTTGGTGATGCCCCTAGTTCTACTCATATTCATGTCTCCTTACCCCCTAGAGATGGTCCTAGTACTACGGTGGAAGCTGAGGCTGAGGCACGGTCCCCTTCTAGGGTGGAGGGTCCCCATAGCTGTTCTACTTCGGGCAGTGACTCAGTATCCATGCTGCGGGGATGTGAAGCTTACCAGCGATAGGCTTTGGGGCTTTGTGACCAGTACTGAGGTTGAGGAGGTTGGCTCTCGGGGTTCGAAGGGTGTCGTTGATACTGCTGTGGAGGGCTTCGCTTTGGTATGTCCTACATTTTTCCTTGGCTTTGTACCTGAGCTTTCTTCTTTATATTTTATTCTTGATTGCTTACAAGTGGCTGCTGCTCCTCTGCCCTGCTTGTTCACAAGTACACTAAAGATCAAAGAGGCAATTAATGGCCAGGCAGCAGAAAGGCAAACACGCGAGGCTATTGAAGAGCAGTTGGTGCTTGAGCGGCAATCACAAGAGGATGTTGCGAAGCAGTTAGGGCTTGAACAACAGGCACGAGAGGATGCCGCAGAGCAGCTGAGGCTAGCGCACGAGAAGGCTGCTTAACTTGAGGTTGACCTTCGAGTAGCACTTGAGAGAGTTACTAGGGCAGATGCTCACTCCATAGAGATGGAAGACATGGGGGATGCTGTTGAGAGGGCCAAGGCAGGCACCTTCATTGATGGCTATGATGAGCTCAAGAGAAAGGTCTCAACAATATTCCTTGCTTATGACTTCTCTGGCTTTTTACCTTATGAGGCTTCAGAGACCGATGAAGAGGACGCGAGCGATAGGACGCGGAGACAGTGAATGTCGATAGTGGCATGACACTTTTGTATTTTTTGTTGATAGATAATCTATCTTTTTGTAAAAGTTTCAGGAACTTGAATGAAATACAACTTTTTT